AGAAAAATATTTACCGATGCAAATCCTATGAATAATTAGGAATTGAATTTTATTCTTGTCTATCTACGCCATTTCCAGTCGATTAGGGTACGATTCCTAAGACTTCAAAAATATTTGTTTCGACTCTGGTGACTTATACTTCACATGACTGACTCGTGCTTGAAATTGTACATTAAATGATAAACCGCCATACTTTTTCAAACATCCTAATTTATTTCATTTTGTCACAGAGATACTTCGAACACATCTAATGTTAGGACCCCGAAGTTGACCATTGGAGCAATACGATTTCTGTCTGGCAATAACTTTACTAAACATGTTTTCAACTGAAATGGAACTGACTTTCCATTTTTTTTGTATCAATAATACGAGTGTTATGATGGAAATTTTAATGAAGTTTGAGGCTGTAACTAACAACTTGATGTTTGTTCAAACGTGAGACTTTGGCATAATGGAGGCGAAGAACTATAAGACCCCATAAAATAAACATAAAACCTCATACCTGGTCGGGACAGTTTTCTGTTACAAATCTTTTGTTTCAATACCTATAAAAATATTTTTCTTTGAAACACTTGTGTTCGCTAGAACAATACGTCGAGGTCAAAGTTCTAATAGGTTTCAGATGAAGCTGTTGTCTGCATAATTCGAAGTTTCCATGGGTTCTTGGCAATGTTTTTTGATTCAGAATAACATTTTCAAAAAATTTGCTTAGTCTCATGTACAATTATTTCAAATTACAAAAAAGTTAAAACGTCTAATGTTTGTTGTCTCGTTCGGTCGGTCGGTAGCCGGTCGGTTCGACGTGGGTGCTTTGTTCACTCACTCGAATTGACTGCCGTGTTGGTCGGTGGTTCAAGCCCTAGTCTGAACGATCGATTTTCACGTGCTATCGTCCAACCCGTGTTAGGAATCACATGTTAAAAGGTAAGACCTCATTAATCCTTAGCTCACACAAGTTTTGACTTCTGAAGGTTATCGTTCGTAGGGATGCGACAGCTGGTTGACGGAAAAACAGATTTTAAAACAGATTTTTTTAAAGTTTAACACTAATATTGTATACTGAGATACTTACATTTGGTAAAAAAATCAAACTTCATTGAGGTTAAAAGTATTTTTATTTTTTCAAAACTAATAATTGTATTTCGTAGGAAGTATACAGTTTTTTCATTGTTAAACAAGATTTGTTTCATTTTCAAAGTTAGACATATGTGGAATATCCATTATTAGGTTATTTGTGTAGGTACGTTTTTGAACGGCTCTAGCAAAAAATAAAATAATCTGATATTATACTTATGATGCTTCTCTGAATAGCGAATGGCAGGTCCATTCGCTATTAACAATTTGCACTGGAGATACAGAAACACCTACATATAGTACGGTAAACAGTAAAACCATACTTTGCCCCAAATAATATATTATAAACCATTTTGAACGAACTACGTCATATTCTTGAACTCATTCTGAAAAATTAATCAATAGAATTACTTTATAAAAGGTAATTTGTCGGGAAGTTTGTTATACAGTTTGCATCCCTGATATTCAAAACTCAAGTATGTATATTTCTGCAACTGTTAACATTTTTACCTTCTGAAATGCTCCCCTACAGGACTCTCTAAATCCTAACTTAGCAATGATCCTTACTGCATACTTCTGTATCATGAACACTCGATCTACAGAGGAACTCTTGCCCCAGTTCAGTATGCCATACCTGAGGTGAGAATTAAAATTCGCATAATAAAGCTGACTGCAGTGAGTGGAGAGATACCTGAGAGAATAACAGGAATTTCTGAGCTTTTTACACAAATTATATACATGTGGCTTCCATTGCAAGTTGTCCTCAAAGGTAACTCCTAACAATATATGTAGTTGTTGTTGTGGGGTCCAATTGTAATTCGGTATTCTGGTATAGACTCACCTCATGGTGTTGTCGTCGTACCATGAGTTGTAACGTACTAGTTTTTGTTTTATTCATTATCAAGTTGTTTTTTTACACCAAGTGATAACTCTACTGAAAGTGCTTTCAGCTATATTTATAACAGTGTTTAGGTCATCTTCAATAACCAGTATATTCGTGTCATCAGCGTAACATACACCGTGTATTTGGCAGAATTTCCATATAGATACACTAATAGATCATTTGCAAATACTAAATACAGAAAAGGTCCCAAAGTGGATCCCTGAGGCACACATCAGCAATGTGTTTTTCAGAAATTATATTCTCCCCAGTTTTCACTATTTGTGTCCTATTTTAAGATGGGAGGTCAATAAATTGAGTGGCACTCGTCTAACCCCATATCTTTAGAGTTTTTCCAGCAAGAGGCTGTGATTAACGCAATCAAACGCACGTGAAAAATCAATGAACTACTTTTAATGTATTTGCATCTCATTTGCACATTTTTACTTTCATCGAGTTTTTTCCTCATGATACTGCTCATATTATCCATATTATCCATATCCAACAGAAGTAGATCGAGTACCGATTCTTGGGGTACACCTATATTAGGCCCATATTCAGTTCACAGAATGAATGGCGTGATCTTTTCGTGATTTTTTACAGATCAAATATTATTATTCGACGGATTTTAGCCATCGGCCGGTTTCACCTTTTCGGTGGTCCAGCCAACTAATTTTTCTCTTTTACTTGTGTCGTTGTTTTTGTTATATAATTGACAAGTACCAGGAAAAATGAAACCCTCAAAACTGACCTGCTGTTTACTTGAATGAATGTAAACTTCAACTGCTTTAATACATCCCGATTTTATGACATTTCTCCCAGTTTTCTCAGAAACCCGTAGTTCACTCGATATTTCAATAAAACCTTCGGAATCAAAACACAAATTAGTAACGCCAAACTAAAGAGGGATGAAGTAGGTATTCGAAAATCCCAGCATATGAAACTCATCAAATGAGGTTCAGGCCTGAAATTTAATATTGACTGTAAGAAAATATTCTTCCAGATGTTCATACAGGGCATTTTTCATTAAGAGAGTGTAAAAATAGTTCTTGTATGGATTTGAAGGGTGTTTTGAGTAGTGCTTTCAGAGGAAGGGCTGGTACTGACGAAAGTTTTACTGTTTCAATCACTCCCATATCATTTTAAATTTATTTCCTATATACTGTCATGGCGTGTCTAGTTGTTTGGAATCCGTTTAAGGAACTGTTCACTGTTTTCAGAATTTGGTTCATAAAAAGTCTGCAATATAATAACAAACAAAAAACGCAAAAAATTTAAGCATATTTATTGATAAGTTGCAGTTTTCTCAATACGTAACTGTTATTCCCTAGAAGGCGTATGTTTAACTGAAAATTGTATATGGTCATAGAAATATTTAGAATAGAGCTATAAAAACCCATTTATGCGATGCACTAGTAAGTAATTTCTGTGAAATATTGTGATTATGTTTATACAATGATGTATTTAGTACACATTCTTTAAAAGTTATAGAAAATTTTATTAAAACAACGATAAAAATAAAAACAACAATAAAAATTAATTGGGAGGGCAAATATGAATTGAATGGATAATTCATGTGCGTTATATAATAATAAGAATAGCTTTACTCAAAGGAAAAATATTGAATACACATTTTAGAACATAACAAATATGAAGTGAAAACAACCCGAGTCAGTAACAGATGAAGGATATTTTTTACTATTATCCGTCTTGAATGAACGCATACACTACAATAAATCTTATATTTTTAAAAATGATTTTCAAGTTACACAAAAAATTGCTAAATTTCCGCTTTTTACCTAAATCCCCCAGGAGTATTTGTCCCCTTGTCTCCCTTGTATACGATTTTGTGTTTATGGGCCCTGCTTAACTGTTTAAGACCATAGAAGTCATAAAATGCATGGCTCAGAATGATATTTCGTATCCGTAAATTTTAAACAATGTCACACAATCTTACCGATGAACAATGCTAAACTCCTTTATACAGGGTGATCCATCAAAAACGGAATGCAAAGTATTTCAGGTTAAGAAAGAACTTATCAACAAAACCCAAAAACACGGTAAGTTTTTTTCTGAAAGAAATAACTTTTGAAGCAAAATCTTCAACCCTCTAGTAGGAGTATCATCCCTACATATACTTGCGGTGTTACTTTGCTACTGACGTCAATTATACGTTTTCGCAGATCTTCCAATGTGTTAGATGGAGTATGAAAAAACGAACAACATATATTTTTCTACGTGACGTTTTTTCGCGCGACCATTTATGCATGACCTTATTTCGTTGGCGCTCTTTTTGATATTTTTTCATCCGACCACTTTGTTGGTGACTTTTTTTCGGGACACCAGACTAAAAGTTTATTGTAATGTGCCGTTCTCAAAAATTCAAATAATTTTTCATTTATTTGTGGCTTTTTCCAAGACATTTTGTAGACTTCTCTGATCTACGAAAGCGTGAAATAGTATATTCCTTGAAACAAGTTATTAAAGTTCGCTTTTATTTGACCAAAATGTATTTTTTTTTTCAAGGGTTTTTCACAATACATTCATTCGCATGATGATTCTGCTAGTTCTTGTAACTAAATCAACTTTGTGATAAGTGCACGAGTACCGAATGTTTGCACCGATAGAATGAAAATTATGTAATTAAGAATACAATACAACATGAATTAAAGTGACCAGAGGTCAATTGTACTTGAAATGTTTTAGTTATATACGTTCAGGGAGTCTCCGTGTTGGAAAAATTAATGAAAATATCACGCTACAACTGTATTAGCTACATGAAAATGACATCATGCGTGAAATATCACTATTTAGTACAGTAAAATTGAACGAGAAAACATTTCAAATTCGATTTCTCAAATGTATTTTATTCATACCTACTACACAGGCGCCAATAAAATTTTTTAAATCGAATTTTTCCCGCAGTATAGTTACGAAATTTGAGTTTTGTAATATTCAGTTTAGAACTACCAACTTATTTTAGATTATTGATCCTTATATTTTGAAAAGTACTTCTATTGAAACTAACTAATGTTTTCCTTTTCAGGGTAACGATTCATGGTTATCAAGGAAATCTGTCTGCTGTGATAAGTCACACCGCCAGCATAGCGCCTTGGGAAATATTTGGAATCGAATTCATTTTGACATTCGTTGTGGTATTTTCGTACTTAATTTCCATGGACACATACCGAAAATGGACTGGGACATCTTCACTGACCATCGGATCCACTTACTCGGCTTGTACATTTGCTTCCGTGAGTATTATATTTATTTTTTATTCAAACAAGGAAATGCACCACCACTTCTAGAAATTAGAACTGAATCACCTCAAAACAATGTATGTATAATTATGTATACTGTAGGCCTTTTTATCGTAATTTTTTTCCGTGAAGTACACTAATTCCCAACTCTAAAACTGGTCTGTATTCATATCTAACTTTCTGACACACATCAATGATAACGTGTGGAAGTTTGCGGGAAATTTTTCTCATTCCCGCTCATTTTATCAGAGCAATTCATATAAAGATAAACAATGCGGGCTGTTTGGAATGGGACCATTTGTTGTTGCTCATAGTTCTCACACCACACTTTCCAGGCTTTCGAAAGCATCCAAAAATCTAGTGTCATGCACCGCGATCTCAACAATTTCAGACTGTTTTCATTTATTCTTTGTGTCGTTCTTCAAGGCGTGCTGAGCGCCACTAGTTTTTCTGGTATCCGTGTTCTTTGAAACGAGTTTTGATAGCTAGCTTAGTCTGCCTGATTTTTTTTTGTCACAGTCCTAACAACTTATTTCATACATCCCCGACTCTTCACTTTCCAACATCTTGCTTTAGTGTTATCTAACATTTGTTGAAGTGAGCAAGAAGTTTGGACGGTTACTTTTAAGTTCAACTCTTTTAAAATGCTATCTGATCCGCATATGTGTCAGCAGGACAATAAACTTTGAAACACGGTTTTATTGCTAAGATTTCCGTATATTTACGAATATTCTTCCTAAATATACATTTCTTAATTAACTTATCTTCTGTATTTGAATAATACCCATTGCTTTCAGCTATGTCCCTGATAACACTTTTTTCAATATCCTACCTTTTACTCAAGGAACACGTGCAACATCCTGACATTTTGTATTGTGGATAATGGTGTGAGCTATCAACAATATATCTACTGGTATTCTTCCTATAGATATCAAATTCTAGACCCTGGCTACTTTTGATCACTAAAAGAAAGCCCTAAGAATTGTAACTCCTCGTGGGTTTTAGTTTCATATGTAAAATTAATATTCGAGGATATGTTGAGAGTTGACACAAACTCTTTCACCTTAGATTTATTTGTGTCAAAAATCTCAAATACATCATCAATTAACGAATCCTCTTTTGATTTCAATTCAGATTAGCAATAAAGGAGGACAGTGGGTTTCCCATACCCTTCCATTCGTGCTGTCTATAGAAACAGTTGTTGAACTGGAGGCAATTCTGTTCCATGCAGATTTCTATTAGTTCTATGTGGTATTCGATTACTTCTCCACTGAGACCATTGAACCTCAAAATATCCCTCAAATGTTCAATAGTTTTGTGTATAGGGACCCTTGGAAACAACCAAGTCGAAACTTGTAACTCAGCTGCAATGTATTATTCCTAGCACTTACCCCGATACCCGAAATAATTTTTGTTGTTATCAATCGAATAGTGCTAAGTTTTACAAAAAATAAATAGCACGGTATTTTGTCAGCATCAACAACAAATTTTAGTATACTCACATAACATAAATGGCACGACATTCTTGGTGTGCATTTTGTAATTCTGCAAACGTTAAAGAATTTTGACACCTGTGATCGACTATTCTTACACTTTATTTTTTTTGTTTCAGATGCCGTATTTGAATCCAGCAAGATCTCTAGGTCCGTCATTTGTACTGAATAGATGGGAAAACAACTGGGTATACTGGCTCGGACCGTTATGCGGTGGGATAGTCTCGGCCTTGATATACGAATATATTTTCAACACACGTCGACCAAAGCAAGTAAAGGAATCTCAAGACGATGAATCTTCAAGTATCCGCTCCGAAGACATGGACAACTACGACGACATTGATAAACCTACAGCCCCAAAATTCCACGGATCTTCTTACAACAATTACAGAGCGTCAGTTGGTGCTGGAGGAGGTGCAAATTACTGTGGCAGCTTATATTCTGCCCCAGCAACGAAGTTAGAGAGAGGCGAATCAATATATGGCGGGACTAAATCGTTGTACTGCAATTCACCCCCTTTAACTAGGGCTAATCTGAACAGATCCCAGTCTGTATACGCCAAATCCAACTCTGGTATTAACAAGGATCTTCTGCCGAAGCCTGGACCTCTGGTCCCCACACAGTCCATGTACCCACTGCGAATGAACCAGCATAGTCATGTAACCAACCAGAATGTGCAAAACCAGCTTCAGCAGAGATCGGAAGGAATATACGGTGTGAGAGGGATAACACCCGGGACCGCTAATAGACAAGACGTTCACGGTGCTACTGATCGACAGAGAGATAACTACTCAACTGCAGAGCGACAACGCGTTGACAACTATTCCACCACCGAGAGACAACGAAGAGAGGCTCTAACTTCTGGCGAGAATCCCTATGGCACGAGAATCAACCCGCCTAGCTCTGAAGCTGCTGGAAAATTCGAAGAAAGCGCGAAACAAAGAGGAACCCGACCAGAATCAATGTATGGAATGTTGGGTTCTCAGGCTCGTCGTATGCAGTCATCAGCAGCTCAGTCTGATGATTCAAGTTATAGCTCTTATACTGGAAATAGCAGTACAAGGAACGGCTATAATCCTCCAGGCAATACAACTTACCACGCCGCTCAAAAAACTAATCCAGCCGGTTATCCAGGTAGAAGCGGTCCTCCTAGTACGGAAAGTAGACCGATTCAGCCACCCCAGCTTTTGACGACTGCATCTAGTTCGGGGTCATATCACCATCAACATTCACCAAACCCTCAGTATTGAGTTCGTTGTTAACTGTTGTTGAAAAATAATGTTTAATATATAACCTGTAAATAGTTAGTGTAGTTAGAAGTAATTGTTTACATTACCTCAAGAAAAAAATTAAGTTTTCATAATTTGTTGTTTAGTTTCCTGATTATTCAGCGTTCCTCTTTTTGAATGAAAGTTGAAAAATTGAGCGGCATGAATGAATGAGTTATTTTTGACTGAAATTTCACGATTACAATTTTTATTGAGTTATTATTTTATGTTGAACATCAACATTGTGCTGTTGTAAACAATTACTTTCTGAGGAGCATGATCACTCCAAAATCACCTGGATCAGGATAAGCTCTATACTTTCATTTTGTAAAAAGCTCCAACCAAACATAATCATAATTTTTATTTTTACTTTTTGTTATATATTTTGTATATTTATACCTACTAGTTAAATAGTGCATAACTATATACACATTGTTCTTTAGGTTTACTATAATTTGAAAAAATGTATTTGAAAAATTTTGGATCAGTTTTATTTCCTTACCTATTCATTTAGTTTTTTTATTATTACTGGTTTGTTTTGCTGTGCTGCAATTAATGTGATGGTATAAATCACAGATTCTGATTTATCACAACGAATTAAATGAATCAAATGTTTATGGTCGAATTTACAAGAATGTTTGATATTCAAAGTTTCCTAAAGTATTTGATAGGAAATAGTACATGCACGAGTAAACAAGAAATTGATATTTATTTTTAAGTGAACTGCTTATTTCGGGTTTGAAATGTGTAAAATAAAAAATATGTTGATATTTCATTAAAACGTTATTGTCAATTACTTACTGAACACACTCTTGTCCACTGGATTCCTAACAGACATAAGTTGAAAATGCTATTAATTTATTGGGAATATCGGTAAAACACAGTTGCTGCTAATTAGTTGCACTCGGAGCGATATCCCGCACAATAATGTCTAGCTAGAAGACTTTACTTATCGGAAAACGGAACATGTCACCCGTTTGAAAGATTATGAAACAGCAGAGCACATCCTTTGCTCCTGCTCTGCCAAAAACAGGCAGGTTTTAAATGTTCAGCATCATTCACCAGATAGACTAATAGGCTTCATTAAAAAGCTCAACTTGTTTGGTTGAAGAAGTGGTTTGGGAAGTTCTATTGTCTATAATATATGTATGAAAGATTGGATTTGTGGAATGCAGACACCGAACCCGGCTCTACTTTTCGCTAGACAGGCTAATTACCAACTACCTTATCTGAATCACCAAGCAGAATGCACACATCACATCTTTTTCCTTCTATATTCTTCTTCTCAACTAAATTTTCTACAGAGCAAATTTCATATAGTAAACACACAAGATGAAAGTTGAGTTTAGTGTTTTTATTACATTCAACAAAACTGCTGATAGTAAGTTTTTCAACTGTGCAGATTTCAGAATACTTCTTTCATAAACTCATAAAAATTGAAAGTTAGTCTATAGAGAGGATTTTTGATCTTTTATATTTTCATCTTAGTGGAAAATGAGCAAAAAACTGCATGAAAAACATTTTTTCTATTATAAAGAAATAAATAAAAAGCTCTACATAAATTCAGATTGTATTTACAAGTTTTTCAAAATACACTTTTGATATGAACTTTGATAAAAATACTGGTACTATAGTCAACATACATAAATATTAAGTTATAACATAAATTTGGACGGACATTTCATTATTATTCTTACAATACAATAACATATGAACACAACAAAAGGTATCATATATAATACTATTTTGACATTTCAACATATCAAATAATATAAAGATACCATGTTTACAATAGATCATTTCTGAACCAAATGAGAACGATAATATTGTATAAATGCAATATAAAAAACTTACGTAACATACAGTTATGCAAAAAACAAAAATTTTTTTACATAAATTACAATAGATCATTTATGAAATTATTCACTTCGATGTTGCAGTCTTTTGAAAAATTGTATTGCCGTTTATTGGCTTCTTGATCGTCATCCGCTTGAATTAGTCGTTTTTAACGTTCAAGTAGGGGTGTTATAGTGCAAGGCAAATTGTATTGCACTCTCAAATTGTAATTGAAAGTCCATCAACAATGTATAGTATGCGAGAAGGAAGTCCACCGCCGTTATAGTTGGAATGTGTGGTTTTGTGAGGCAGTCCAACATCAGGACGAAAGACATGAGAGTGGGTGAAAATTCCAAGAACGACCAAGCAGTTATCATCAAAACGAGCACCTCATTCGGGCCGTCGTGGATTTATAAAATGTTGCATAGCATAAGAACAGACTAGATTGAGGGTAGACAGAAAGATGCGGTAGAGTTTCTTGGTTTTCTTTTGTACGGTCTGAATGATGTAGTGTTGGAGTTAATGGATTTGTTTAAATGTTACACTGAAGACATAAAACCTCCTTTTCACTCAGCTACGGGCAATGATTCAAGTGATAAGTGGAAGGTTACACGATAAAAAATAATAGATATGTAAACAAAAGGACCAACTTTGCCAGTACACTGATAACCGACATCTTTGGAGGCAACTAAAGTCGAGCATACATCGTGCCGGAGATACATTACTGAGAATTTCCAGCCGTTCCTCACGCTACCTCTCAACATTGGGAAAATGAAGACTTTCAGGGAAGCACTTAGGTATTTGTTTCCAAAAACAGATACTACTCTGCGAATCCCCCATTATCCTCATATTGCATTTGAAGTTTTTCGATTATAGGCACGGCGGTTGCAAGAAGATTATCAAGGCTTTGGAATTTGAATTTGACTTGAACGTTGATACGATACTAGTTTCGCCGGAAACACAGTCTCCAACAGAGAAGCAATACAAGCTGTTCGACGTTGTGTACCACGATGGCAAAGAGGCCAACATGAAACACTACATAACAGATGCCTTTCACGTTGGCTACAGCTGTTGGTTGAGTAAAGACGATTCCTCAGTCAAGACCGTGCAGAAAGACTACATGCTGAAATCCCAAGGAATGCGAGTTCCTTACTTATTGTTCAACAGGCGCAGCGATACGATCTGACCTAAATAATGTCCCCTATCTCATCGTCTGTGTAACGTAGAGAATTTCTTGATAGAGTCTTTTAGCACGAGTGGCTAGCTTATTCAGAGGTTTATTCATCTTGATGATTCACCGATGACGGGTGATTTCTAGTTCGTAGGTTATATTTGTGTTGACTCAGGTAGTTCGCCACTTTTGTTGACGTGTTGCTATTGACTGAAGTGCCAATAACAACACGGATGAATAAACCTCTGAAGAAGCCAGCCATTTGTGCTGGCGAAACGTTATTATGCAGTTCCAAACTACGACGATCTTCAAACTGAATGAAAATAGTAACACTGATTATTTTACATTGTTCGAATAATCAGTAGGTATCCATAATTTCTTTTACTAGAATCTCTTAGTTTTTTATTCAGCTTTATTGTTAAGTTTGTGAGTAATATTTACAGTGTATTATTAGGATACATCTCTGTTTTATTTTTTGTATTCATGTGTGTTATTTTTAAGTATTTGTGCAACAGACATTCAAGTAATACCTTTGGGCTGATAATTTTGAAATAATTGTTCCGTCAGGAACCTGGTTAACCCATTGTATATCATTTGAACAAATTTTCGGAGTGACTTGAGTGAAGGTATTGTCATGAGAGATATTTATATACAGGATTACAAGTACTGAAAAAATTGAAGCTACGACTGTGTGATACTAGAATATATTTCATAACCATTTTGCATTATGATCTACTTCTGTCCAGGGGTTTCCATTGCAAATGAATGGAATAAAACTACTACTCTTGCTGGTGAAACGTTGAGACACAATAAAACGGACGACGGTCCGCAATCGCGAGAAACAACACTGAAGTGGATGCTTTATTAACCTTTCGATACATCTCAAGACGTTTCAGAATGTAGGATGTATTGTTATGGAGAAATATAAGTTTAAAGAGGTTTGCTGGCCCATGTTACCCTATCTGATTATGAATTGAAACTGAGTTTCCGAGTTAAGAACTACTCGAACACTTCGATAATCACCTCATCGCCTTTGATGTCTACCGCAATAGTAGACGAAACGCCAGGCATAAAAACCTGCAGACCATGGCCAAAAAACCCAGAAAATAGCTTTGACATAATTATACTTACCGTTGATAACATTTTTCTAACCCATTTATTTAGAAATGAGCGTTTTTATAATTGAACATGTCATACCTATTGTTTATTTTTTCTCATTATTTTTATTCTTTTTCCATTTTTAATAATTAGATTAGTAATATAGATCTAATAATTTTTAAGACATTAGAAATTTCAACCCTCAATATTCAACAGAAATCATTGCCAACCATATTCAAACAAACCTCATTTGTTCAACCATGAATTTCAAATAGCAACCTCCAAAATTTGTTGCCTCGGAATCAGAATAAGGTTCATTAGAGTACCTCGGCACCAAAAAGAAATTTTGCCCTTAAAAATTCAGTTCTAACAAGAACGACGAACCAACACTAATTTTCTGATTTGTTTTCAAAAATATAGTACGTAGGTAAAAATATACACATTCTTCAATACAGTTGGATACATGTGTTACAAAAAAAAAACTAGACTTCAAACGTCGGTTTGTGGAATACCTTGCGGAATACTTTGAGAATTACTTTTATGTTTCGAAGGTAGGACAGGAGTCCCCCTTCTAGGCTGATTGACCTCTCCATTGGGACTGCTGCTCATAAAGCCCTGTTTCTCTTTCCAAGAAACACTCTGGAGCGATGAGGCACTATTAGTTCTCTCAGGTGCTATGCGAGAACCATATTTTTCTGTGTATTGGTTCAAGTCTGGTCCTCGAAGATTTTCGATTCCTTCGTTGTCAGTATCAGGATCAGATGGGTACAAATAAGGATTGAAGTATCTATCAGACGATCTGTTGATAATAATGCATAATCAGAACCAACTTCACAATCTCTATCATCTCTCTGTAGTTGAGCCCAACAGCAAAAATTCATTTTATTACCATAGTTCTGGTAATTTGATTTCTGCAAAAGCTGTATATGGTAAGTTCTATATTAGCGGATACTTCAACTCGTTTCATAAACAAAAAAACACTGAAAACCAAGATATTATTGGAATTTACGTCCGTTTTCAGTTAGAACCTTCCTTGATGAAATCACCAAAACCATGATATCAATGGAATTGTTACAATAATTGAAAATTGAGAAAAAACAACTAATATTAGAAGATACGTTATAATTAAGTTTTAGAGACATGAATACTTTGATATATAAGGTGTTCCATTAAAAAGAAATGAGATTGAGCATTTCAACTATGGCTAAGTTGGTGCTGTTACAAAAAAGATCCTATATAAGATGCAGTGAATTTTATCTCAGGAAATAATCGTCAACATCGGGATTCCCATCAAATTAAATTATGCAAAAGAATTCACTTATGAGTAAAAAAATTAAAGCTTCAATAAAAATTACCTTTTTGTTTATATATTTCTTTGACACCCTATATAAACAAAAAATATTTTTAAGATATGCGTCTTGATCACTGTCTTAGTAATGGGCCACCTGTATGTCTATATACAGCACAACTTTGAATTAAATGAGAATTTATTATTTGATCTCATAATTTCTGAATAGTCCAATGAGCTCTTGAATATGTTATATTTTGGTGATATGTACAATAGTTTCAGGCACTGATTCAATTGTTTGGATGTATTTTGTCAGAGTTGGGGCCTATTTCATTTTGAAATTATACATTCCAATTAACATAATTGGCATATCTGATTAACAAACAAGAAGTTAAACCAATAATACACCTTGCAGTGGAGTACACTCATATGTTTAGAAGCATTTGAATATCCCGATCTCACCTAATTAATACCGACACCATTTAACTACAGTATTAATGGAATACCCCCTACATAACCACAAAACCTAATTGTCATATGTTTCTTTTACCTTGCTTACCTCTTAGCGTTTCTCCACAGCATACAGCAGACTACCAACAAAACAATCAGCAGTAGACAAAATCCTGATACGCTCCAAAATGCAATTTGCAGAGGTGCCCTAGGTTCCCACCAAAACTAAAAAAATTAATTGAAAAAACCAACATGAACAAATATAACCCTTCATAGAGGTCACAGAAAAATAGCTGAAAAAACAAAGACATTTACATAAAGAGATTGTGAGCATTAGTAGTTTTAGTTGAATTACACGAAGAAAAAATACTTTGGAAACTACTACTTCTATGTGAACATTGCATTATACAAAAAAAACCTTTGTTTCTATTCAGTTTGTACTCCAAAAATAAACACAGCTGTTTGAAATTAAGACGTTGTTTTCAAATGAACTTTGGGTATTGAAAACGGAAAAGTATTAATGAAAGAGAACAAAATCAGGGCTGGAAAAGGAGCAGTTTCTGAAATGTCGACCATCTAAGGAAAGCTAAGTATAGAAATTTCATTTTTCCAATCGATTATTCAACTTGTAGGCAAAATTTATGAATACAATAATCTCCTGTGGTTTATATCATGCAGTAAGTTTAAGCAGTGAAATTTTCAGAATGAACTTTTCAGTTTGCTCTTTATTACACTTTAGAATATTCCCTTTCACAATCACAAGATCACACATTCATTTGTGAAAATAGAAACAAGTTTTAGACAAGAAGCTATAATGAACTCATTACTTCGATTATTTATTTCTTCTTCGTTTCCTGAATTTATATCAGATTTCGATCCGGAAAATAAAAAAATTGTATATTGGTTTTTGTGGAAACAAGAGTGGAATCACTGAAGTTGTCCTTTTTTTAAGGTCATTAAGAAGTCAGATATCTCCATTCAATTCATTCATTAAATTTTCAAAAATTTATCAAAACAAGTTAAAACGCTTCAAAAGTTGTTTGCTTTCAAAAAATTTTCTTACCTCAGTTGTAGGAGGATATGTGGGTACGAGATGTCCCACCAGTGTCGGTATATAATGGGTCCAGAAAGCAGACTCAGTCTGCCGGAAGTTCCACATAATCGAAGAGTTGTAAGTGGTGTTCAAATTCAAATATTTAAGCTGTCCATTTTTGCATTCCTCAAAATGCAATCCTAAAATTTGGGTGTGTGAAGGATTCCCATATTTGGCAAAATCAGTATACGCCTTCATGAAAAAGTGACTCATATTTCTATCACTGGGCGTCCATTGAGTTCGAGTGAATCGTTCTCTGGAAGGTAACATTTCTACGTCCAAAAATGGTGCACCACAGAGTAAGTAGTGCTCTATGTTGTGCGGTACTTTTCTCCATTCAGCTAACTTGAAAGATTCTACAGTTGTGTTCAAAACGTACATGTACACCGGGACATTCTGTTCGACTAATAATTTGATCATCTTGTCATTTGGGGCAGTGTATAGGAAATCAGAGAGTAACTAAAAATGAAAAAATTGCAGAAACTGAATTTTTTGTCTTCACCTATTTTAGTATTCTTGTAAATAATGATAATTTGTTAGTAGTTAAATGTATTCGTCTGACTATATGCAATGATAATAGTTTTACTCAACTTTTCTATTCATCCTGTATAATTATAACAAAACGAATAAATGATAAATTTCATGTTTTATTCATTTACAGTCCACTTTCATCAAAAACTTAACTTGAATGAAATAAATAAAAACACTTTTGTCTAAATACCACTGGAAAATTTTCCAGTTGTATTTAGACAGAAGTGTTTTTATTTATTTCATTTAAGTTATCATGAATTACCATAAAGTAAATAAGTCATCAATCATACATAACAAAAACTAAACACTAAATCAATATCTTTATTAAAATACATTGAAGAATATGAATATAAGAATAAGAAAAAAAGTGATATGAATAATCTATCATTTTTGAAAATTATTTTTCTCTAAGGGGTGAGAATATGACATCACGTACTTCCATTTTTTTCATTATATAATGAGATTATTAGATGTGTTGAGGCAGGTAAGTGTCCTCCAGTGATCTATGATTTGAAATGAGCAATGGATAGTGTCAATCACTAGGAGCTGGAAATTGAGAAGCTGTAGACATAGAGGAGAGTCTCTTTCAGTTGGATATCCTCATTTTTAGAAGGTAGACGTCAATATATGTCTTTCTTCGGGTTATCATAAATAATGAAATCCTTGAAATAAATTCTAAGCCTTCATGCATAATTATGGATATGCCACAAGACAAGTACCTAGTCTGGGCCTAATTTTGTTTATTTTATATATGAAAAATATAGATTGAAGTATAATGACTTCTCTAAATTAACTAAACACTGAATGACAAAACAATGAAAGATAAATGTGCTTCTGTAATTAGTCAGATATCACATTATTTCAATAATTTGTTTTTCAATTTGGACCAAAGGAATATTTGTTTTAACAAATGACAATGAAAGACTTCAGTTTTATTGCTGACAATGTGACCCTTGAAAGCCAATAAAAGTATTAGGTTCCTGGGAATTGTCCTGTACTGGAATATTGCCTGCATTCAATTTTCAAGCCCAGGATTTTTTTAATGAATTTGAAAACGTGAGACTATGACTCCACTAATGAGTCGATTCAAAACTACTTCTGGGGAAAATCATTATCGCTCAAAAGTATATTTTTTGTTGTATTGTAAAAACGTCTTGAACTGAGAATCTTGTAGGTATATTATCTTGACATTTACACCTGTATATATATCAAAAATATATATTTATCTATAAAAAAATATCAGCTTTTAAAAGCAATAAACATGTCCATCACCATGATGTTGTAAAAAATAAATTGTTTTTGCCACATGCAAGACTGAAAGTGACTTCATAGTTGATTAAAACAAAAATATAAAAAAACCTCTGTGACATTTTTATTGATTTGAAATGAGCACTTGGTGCTGCTTATATTTATCATCATTTATTTTTACAATATGTCAAAGTTCAATAATGAATTGAGCCCATTCATTAGAATTACTTGAAATCAATAATTTCAAAGGTCGATTAAAACTCACCTGAATATATTTTTCTCTTATGTGGGTTACATTATTGGGATCCGGCCAATAGGTATACATATATTTAATGGCATCAAAGGTGCCATTGGGATTTAGTGTATAATTATATCTCAAAACCAGTTCTCTTATTTTTTGATCAACAAAATCTTGATTCACAGTAAAATAGGGTTCCAAGCTCCTATTTGATGCTGAAAATACAATCAAATATATAGTCATACAGTCTCCCTATCATTGTGGTAGTTGAAAATATCCTAACTGATCCCAACTCTAATGCTCACATTATATTCTTGCTTTCAATGTCTATCCACTTACAAAAAATCAACAGAAGTAACTCATACGTTGAATTCCTGGAACTAGGCAAGATTGGGAAATAATCAGCCACTCAGAAATACTTTAAAAATGTCGACTACCTATTTCAACGAAACTTTAAAAAAATGAAGAACATTTACAAAAACAACAAATATAATGAAAACTGATTGCAAAAGCCTCACTCATGATATGGAATATACTAAGAGAAGAATTGATGATTGATTAGTTTACTTCCAGTCAAAAATCAACTGGAAAATAAACAAAATGAAAAACTTTCACTTTTTTGAATTACCTTGAAGAAACCTGGTTGCTCGACAGTTTTTGACAGTAAGTCAAAACTGGTAGATTGAAACATCACACAAGCACTTCCGTTGAGTTATATTATCCACAAACTAACGTGTCTGAAGACTGTCGAGGACAGATATATACATATAAAAAAATAAATATTTCTAAATAAAATCTCCAAATATTCATCTCTCCCAACTACCTACAAAGTAGGTTCTGGAAAATGCCTGCTAGAAAACAACTATTTCCGTGGCTAATATCATGCTGGACATTTATGCAACATACCTCACAGTCACAGATGTTTCTCATTCATCTAGTAGCAGGACTATGCTGAAATTATTCGAATAGATCACCTACAGACCAATTTCAAGGTAATACCTCTCATCAGTGCAGGAAAGATCCGACCGAAACAGCAAAGTGCCTGGGACTAGATTGATTTCAACACGGCTTTGATATGCATCAGACGAAGGTTTCATGTATGCACATGAAACAAAGAGAAAGATTGTTAACTAGTAACAGCTCCATCTCATAAACAAGTATCGGTACATGAGATGTTTCTCTCCGGCTTGGGGCTTTGATCACTATCGACACACTTGTATTTTACAAAAATCTATAAATCAATTTGTCTTGAGCTACAAACTTCATGGGTTACACTGTACCAAAACAAATCTTAATTTCTGTCAAAATTACATTAGAGGCAAACATGAAATATAGTTCACACATTACTTACTGATAAAAGTGGCAGCTTCCTGTAAAGTAACACTTGACATGTATCTCAGTCCTTGGTTGAAGGATTTCTTCCTGATTAAAGTCTCAGGACTTTCATTTATGAAATGCCAATCTTTTTCATACCATCCTTCATAGTAAGGCATTGAAACATTCATTTCTATCACAGGCGCCCAAGGAAATAGCCCAACCTCTGGTGGAAAGATAGCATTTCCAATTTCTAAGGCACTTCTAGAGTTTTTAAGGCAGTTGACGAGCTTCCACGACGATTCTATGCTACACCCTATTTGTCTACCGAAAACTCGGCTGGTATTTTGTGCACGATATCTGTCGAAAATCATTGCCCAATCGGCCACAGCAGATCCGCTCTGAAAAAGTTCAAGAATCATCCCGTTTCGATCTCTGAATCAGTAATTTTGTTTTTCAATATTTACACCTGAAGTTTTAACAAAAATACATTATCTGCAGGAATTTTGAATTTGGTACATATGATATTTGAAACACATACAATTTGAAAAAATGACGGACAGTCCTTCCTTTAGTATTTGTTGTTTTATTTTGGTGAACTACAAGTGCATTGTTGAAATCAACTGTCCTTAAAGAACAATCCTTTAAGAAAAACGTATAAATGTTGTCTTCGTAAGTGAAGATGTTCATGCTTATTTACATTAGCATGGCGTTTAGGAATTAATTCATTAGTGAACAACATAGATTCACGTTGGTCAAACTAAGCGAACTATAATAACGTTATTCAAGGAACATGGAACATGTTTCACATATTCAGATTCATAGAGCCGAGAAGTCTATTGCCCGTCAACATGCTTTTGAAAACGACCACAGTTTAAGGAAAATATGTTTAAAATTGTTGAGACAAATACATGATAACAGACACCTGTGAAAATTATCACCTCCTGATGATGCTATTTTTTTTTAGAGAAACGCGCGCCAAGAAACAGTGTTTTTGTTCTGGTGTAAAAAATATTTCTTTTCGATTCATTTTACGACAGGGTTCCAATTCTACCTATTAAACATAGATTCATCCAGAATACCATTAGCCACTTTACTAATTTATCAACATTACATCACTTATGCTCGAGAGAAAACATTACAAGCTCATTACTTATAAAGAAATTATGATAGAAAATTTGATAAAGTCAACCACTCACTAACTTTAAAGCATAGGGTATCGCTGAAAATCTGGACATTTCTTCATTAACAATTTTCAATTTTGAAGATTGTGAAGAATTGCAATAAAAAATGGATTTGTTTTATTGTTGGTGTGTTGAAAACGACCTTATGATGAATACAAGAAAATGTTGTCAAATTACTTTTTCTCAAAACACATCAACCTTAGATTTGTAATGGGAATGGCTAATACTTGATGAAGACTCAGGATGATAATAGTATTTAATGAAACTTTACTCATGAAATAGTCTACAAAACCACAACTCGTGTTTTACTATATATTTCATTCATTGGAAAATGAATAAATAAACAAAATTTTGCGATTAAACATAGCCTTAAATTGTTTCTTACCTGCGCAATGACTTTAGCAACCATGCTACTGGTCTGTGGTGCCACCATAAGTAGGCCCGCTGAGGCAGCACCAGCCCCAGGACCGAATAAGGTTATGCTGTCTCTATCTCCGTTGAATTTTTCTGCATTATCATATACCCATCGTAAAGCCATGGCTTGATCAAGTATGCCGTAGTTACCAGGAGAGTTGACATCTCCCGTACTGAGAAAACCAAGTGCTCCCAAGCGATAGTTGAAAGTGACTACTACAACTTTGTAAAAGGTTGCCAAAATATGTCCCGGGAAAGTATTTGAAGCTCCGTGGATAAAATCCCCGCCATGAATATACATCATGACTGGGTATTTGTGAGCTGTCCCTTGCCTCTGAAAACAATAATTTTTTTCTACAAATCATGAATACAAAAATATAAAATANAAAAATTGTCACTCATATAGAATTTGTTCTCAGAGCACCAGAGGTGTAAATCTTCATCAAATCAACATTAACGATGTAAGCTTTCAGTGTTGATCAATTGATATGGGTCCTATTCAGAAATGATTTTTTCAATAAAATTCTGAATGTGGAAGATCAGGTTTTCAAAACATATGTTAGTTAAACAATATATCTGAAATGCACAGTGATGCAAAACAAGCTTCACCAAGGGCACACAATACATACTTAAATGAACAAAAAACTTCTGCTGGCGACCTAAAAGGTCAGGTTGCCTCATCAACGGATATAGTAATTTGTCGGTAGCTTGTAATTAATTCAATAATCAGGTAATTACTACTTTGATGATTTGTCTCTCATTTTATTGAAACAACAGTGTCAGTGACCCAAAAAAATAATTATGAACATTTCAGCTTCATGGAATTTCCTGAAAAAAAACTTTGGGAGTGATTATAATTACTTTATGTAGAACAAAAAATTGTATTACTGTTATTTTTTAAAGAATAATGTGAGAAATAAAATTTCCTTTTTTGAAGTTATGGTACAGACCGCCCTATACAGGGTGGGCCATCGAAAACTTGACATGGAAGTTTTGGGTACTAATCTTGCAAATCTTAAAAAACGCTCAGACAAGCCGGAGCAGAGAGGTGAACAACCCTTGGAATTTTAATAGGGAACTGGGTGGTTAGTCGCACATCGTTTGAAATATCTCGAAATTCTCTAAACAACGGTGTACTTTTTTTCAATTCGGACGAACAATATTAAATTTAGAGTTGAAGTTACTTACTTTATTCTCATGTTAGCATATGCTCAAAATGGGCACCTCCAGCTTCCATGTCCAAATTTAAAAAAATGTACACCATTGTTTAGAGAATTCCGACATCTTTCAAACGATGTTTGACTCGCCCCCTATTCCCTATTAAAATTCCAAGGGTTGTTCTCCCCTCTGCTCCGGGGTTGAAGTGACAACGCTGTAAATGGGGAAAAACTGTCCCCCTCCCAATAATCGACCTGTCTGAGCGTTTTCTCGGATTTGCAAGATTAGTACCCAAAACCTCCATGTCAAGTTATCGATGGCCCACCCTGTATATTTATTTCATGATGTTCACTCATTTAATGATTGCAGACTTTCTATATTGACTTTGTAAGATAACACTCCATATTTCATTATCTTGCTTTTGTTGTTTACTTCTTTCTGATAAGTCATAAAAAATACTAACTATGTTTTTACTCGGAAATGTTCACTATAAAAGGTTTTTAAATGAGAAAGCTATTGGATAGTACAACATATGTCACGGTTTCGTAAAAGCCTTATGGTGAAAATCTTACAGTGAATTGTATCATTTTGTATTTTAATATGGATGAACATCCAATATCGGTCAGTTCTATCCAAAAACTAAAATTGCTACACAGTAACTGAGCTGCAGTAGGAAAATTATACTAGACTACTATATATTCCTGAAAACTATCTCAGAACTTATATTTTTTCAAAGTAAAATCTTCACCATAGACTTTTAATAGTTCAATCTAACAAGATGAGTAGGTGATTCAAAAATTATTTGAAAATTGATTGATATTGCTATTGAATATTTTTCTTGATTCAATGGAGCGGGTTGGCATACTGTTCCTACATTTCAGTATGCACAGATTCGGTTTTTCATTCATTTGATTTCAATATGTTTATTTCATCACTGGTTGGAATGAAAGAAATCTGTTTAAATGATATATATTTCCATTAACCAGCCCCCAAAAGGATAAATGAGGTGTTACCCATTCAACGTGTGATTCCTAGCATGAGTTAGATGATATGCAGTGAAAATCAACTGTCCTGCCGACGAATGTCGAATTACTGTTCCATATAGAGGTCGATCGAATGAGTAGAAGAACCTTTCGCGGTAACTGACCAGCTACCATCCCCCCAACAATCAAGTTAATTGTACAGCGTTTTCTCAATTCATACATCATTACTCCGATCTTAATGTTAAAATGAGGCTGAACAGTTTACAATGAAGAAAAATCAGCTATGGTTCTTTTTTTTGCAGTTGCCGACACTACAGTCTCATGTGTTTTTTTGCTTTTTTCCCACCTTTTCTTCATAATACCCATTCCAATACTCTTGTTTCCTGTACTAATTTGTATGGATTTCTTTTTGCCCTTCTGTCTCAGACTCACATAAAACATGTTGAGCTGTTTCTGTCCCTTTGTTATTTTGCTTGCAGCTAGTGTCTCCGTTATACAGCCCTATTTTGTCCAAGTGTTCTCTCAACAGACAGTGTGCAGTGCATAGTTCTGTAATTATTCTGGGTCCATCCATGCTTTGTTGGGGTAACTCTTCAGTTTTCTTCTCAGATGGTCCCTTCATAAAGGATTTTCTGTGTATGTTCCCAGGTAAAGTTTCTCAATACTCTTTACGTTTCTTATTTATCCATTTCTCGATCTTATCCTATACCAGAGATTTTGGTACTTTAACAGCTAGTTCAGGACATATCAATAGAGTTGATGATCCAAGTATGGCACACTCTTCAGCATTTTGTTGCCTGTGATTCTTAAGTGTCCTGAAACCCAGTATAGAGTCTCATCAGTTCTCTCACTTCTTAACGGCATTATTCATAAGGTTCGTAAGAGTCCTCAGTGCAAAAATTGTTAATCCTCTCATTTCTTTGAGGTCTTCAATCAATATTACTTGCGCATTGCAATATTACATACAGTTCAGCATGGAAGATTGATGTGTATTAACCGAGAGGGTAGCAGGTCCTGACTCGTGTTGCTATCTGTATACCAGGTGTTTCTTCTACTGATCTTCAAAATCAAATTGTTACTGATCACTGATTTACGAATCTTTTATTGATTTTTGCAAAATATGAATTTATAAACAATTTCTTGGTTAATTAAGGCTAATGATTTTTTTCCTAATTCAATTTGTCTTGTACAAATTATAAATACAACAATAACAAAAAAAAGGTACAATCATGAGTAAACTTCTTGGAATGTCATACCTTGAATCTTCCCTCTTGAACGGGAGGCTGTGCATATGGTATGCCCAAAAACACTGACGTTACACCTAATTCTCTTTCAATAAATTCCGATCCTGGCCTATAGAGAGAGTCAGGATCGGGATTGTCAAATAAATATACTTGAAACCCCTGCACGGTTCCATGCGTTGATTCAACAAATACGTCTCTCTCCTTTTCTCTAGTTTGTTCTCTTCTCTTTCCTTGTAAATCTTCCCTCCAACCACCTAATATGCCTGGTAGGATGGGCTCGGCATTTCCCGCCTAAAAGAAAGGGTAATCTTGGATTTATTTTTTATCAGTCATCTCTATAACTTGACATGATAATTATTTGTTTCAATGGCTTGGCGCTAGTTTCTGAAAAATAAAATTATTAGACGAAAGTACTTTTGTCAGCTGATCACATATCTAAAGTAAAAACTTGGCGCTACAATCTACTTTCTGAGACACACCCACTCAAATGTTGAAAAATAAGCTTATTTCAGGATTTCACTTTTGGTAATAAAAACTTGTAAAATGACACCTTCTCTTCATAATAGCATATACTGCAGACATTTTTTCACTTACTACTTCCATTTTTCCACACAAAACGTTTAATTTCCATATAATTGCTTCTGAAATGTTAATGAAACCAAATGATTATTTCACAAGAAACTTTTTGGTTGGCACTGTTGGTAGGGTTACAAAATTTAAACAGAAATTAATGTGATGTCTAAATTATGTGGCTATTGAAAAGATACGAAATGTCACCTTCTTTTTGTCATTTGAATTGTAGCTTTAACAATTGTTTTCATGTTTGTGTGCTCAAATAAGACACAACATAATGTTTCAGATTGCAAGATTGATCTTTACTTCCAAATCAGGAGAAATTGGGAGATTGTAACTGTAAGACAGTCCTGTGACCATAATGTAACAACATACCCTAAAAAATATTTCTGTCACAATTAATTTAACAATTGTGTATGTTTGATGTAATTTTTCATGAATTGAATATTTTTTACAGTATAGAACTTATATGATGGTGAACTTGTATTGGAAAAGTGTAATAATAAAAAAAGTACCATTCACACCTTAAGCTTTGAAAAAGGTGATGATTTTATTGTCTTCTCCTGCAAATTTAATTTAAATGTTTTGAATTTAGCAATGTAATTTTCATGTTTTGACTTTGAATTTTCATAATATTGCCAATGAATAATAATAGAAACTCTAGAGAATCGATAATATAATTCAGAATATGATTAAAAAAAAATCAATTTTATAGAAGTTTTGACAGATTCGTGATTTGCTGACAAAAATACATAGGTCTAAAAAAAAAAAATCCTAAAACTAGGGCGAGGCATTAAAATGTTACCTCTAGCATTATTTGAGTAATTCTGTAGTGAATGTCTCTCCCTTATAGATGTGTCAATGAAGTGTATAGAATGAACTGTTGAGTAGTATTTATGTTTGTTTAAAAGAAAACAAATAACTTTCAATTTATAATTCTTTCTCTAGGAATGAATTGGATGACTAATAGTGATTAACAAGAATAATGAAATGTCAGTTAAAACTAACCACTGACCACAGTATTTAATAATATTACCCTATCATAAGTGAACCTTTCGTCTTGGCCTCTAATTCTAGGATCTCCAGGGCTTCCTTGGTTATAATAATTAGTGCTTGGGCTTTGTCCATATCTCCTGCCTTTGTAAATGTATGTTCTGTAGTCTCTATCCCCTGGGTTATATGGTAATCGTGGACCATATTCATTGTACGGGTTTTGCTGATTAGGAGGATATCCACTGGGGTATCGAGTGTAATCGTCGTACTGCCCTAAAATAATGTCACTGACAAAAATAACTAATAATAATAACACAATTTGAAACTGTTGTTGTTTGGGCGGCGCCATATTCGTCAATTCCTCATATTCTTACGTCAATGTCAATACGTCACAAGTCAGGTAATATAAAAATCCATTTGTTTTTTCAAATGGATAATAAGATATGGTTGCTGGCAGCAGCTGATCATATTAAATCAAGGAATTATCAGGTTCGTTCCAACCTTGAGTCACAAACAGATTTCCAACTGTTTGTAAATCGTTGTCCGATGATGGCGCTAGTATATTAATATGGTGATATCAAACGGTAAAATCTCTACCGATGACAGTGTTTGGATAGACGTTGTATTCAAATAATGAAGTCCTATAGCCGAATGAAAAATGTATGTTTATATTTGTTTTAGAGTTTGTGTATTGTGAATACTTTTGTAGTGTGATTATCAAATGATATTTGCGAAACTTTTTTCATTTTTTAAAGTTGTTGAAAACAGCTAACCCAACTTTTTTTTGGTTTTTGTTTTGCCTTGAATAGGCACCAACCCTCGAATTCAGTGGGCACCAAAGACATGACAATATGGACTAACCGTGACGTCACTTTTATATATATTCCACTTGCGTCACAGCACCATGTGACATATCAAATCCCAAAATTTTTACGATGGATATATGCAACACATAAAACACTTTGACGTTGAATCTGACGTTAGTGTATGAGTGACGTAAATGCCAAGAGTGAATCTGTTCATCTTTTTTTAACAGCAGTCGCTTCACATGGATACCCTGTTATTTGCAGGGGCGGCTTTAGCCCATGTAGCGCCCGTATGCAATCAATACCCTAGCGGATCTTGTATCAATATTGGTGGTCAAAATGAAATAGGTTCTCGCAATACGCTCGACTGACTAAGGACCTCGTTGGAATTCATTGCCGTAAGCTCAACATAGTTGTTTTGTCACGAAACCACTTACAGTGAATATGGCGACAGAGTAAACTACCTAAACCTGTCATAAAGTTTTCATTGAAAGTGAACTTTTTTTTGCCGGGAAGTTTGAAAATTTTATATCTTTTGCTAGATTGCTCTGTCGCTGTCTGTACATGAGTGAAAAGTATTTTTTAGAAAAGAAGGGGCTACAAAAGTAATGAAGGACAACTTTTTAGTTATTCCAAAATATTTAATTTGGAAACAAATCATTATTAAAAATCATAAATACATTAGAGTACAATTTCAAAAAAGATGATACTTTCGTACTTTTGCATTAGCAAAATCTGTGACAATTTCACTGACTTCAATTTCTATTTCATGTTCAATACTGATTATGGCTAAATTTCTTGATGGACTTGGAAGACAGTGTCGATCTAAAGTAGTTTTTAATTATGTTCAGTTTTGAAAATGATTTTTCACTGTGGGCTACTGTTATTGGCAATGTGGGGTAAATTCTAAAGGTTTCAGGAGACAGAAATTAATTTATTAGTATATAGTATACGAGTAATTTGAAATATCCACAGTGCATGTGGCATGTGGCTCTATGAGTATACGCCATGAGCAAAATGTTGCATGTAATGGGATGTTTTGCAATTTTATTACAACCACCATACACACCCACTTCGTTTTTATATAGGCAGGCGCTTGCTTCGAGCAGAGCATTACGGAAGAAGGCTCTATGTAAAACGGGCGGCACCCCCAAACCCTGGCACCCCGGGTGAACCGCACCTCCTGCACTATAGGTAAAGCCGCCCCTGGAATTTAATTATCTGGACTGGAGTTGTTTCCAATTTTTCCAAATAATTGGACTTCTCCTTCTCGTCAATACAAGTAACTTTTTAAAAGGGGTTGCATGATAATAACATCTCTTAGTTAACCAAATTGAATTAAATTGTTGAATTAAAAAAAATATAGTAAAATTCTAAAGATTTTGATAAATTACCTGTCGAACAAAAGTATGCTAATAAAATAATTATTGTACTCGAACTTTGAGGAAATATTTTTTATGGCATTCTGGATGATATAGTAGGGAAGTCTAAAGTTACTTCTTTTTCAAAAATATAGAATTTTGTTCATTTAAAAAATTAGGTTCAAAAGAATGCCATAAATTACCGTCATCTTTTTTCTATACATATGTAAGTACTATTCATATAATCCTGTGTTGAGAAAAACAGTTTTTTAAAAGGATTGTTTTTAACTCTCCTCTTGAATGATGGAGCACTGAGCTGAGTGAGGTCAACTGGTAAATGGTTGTACAACTTGAGGTCCAGTGAATTTCGTGTAGACATTTCTAGTTTATTCAGCGGTTGTCTCAGTTTATCTGCATTTCTAGTGGGAAAATTATGATAGTCTGATTGGGTGGAGAATATACTTTTCTTTTTAAGGATCTCTAATAAAGTGTTTAAAATAAATATACAAGGCAAAGGCAGAATTTTGTAAAAGATGAAGATAGGTTGACATGGTTCGTTGAATGACGCTCCAGCTATTTTTTGCATACGAAAAATCTTTTGAGCATGAGAAGATTGTCCCCATAAGAGAGTTCCATACATCAAATGAGAGTGAAATAGTGAGTAACACGCAGTTAGTAATGTATTGGTACTTATAAATCTTTTCAGCTGGCGAAGAAGGTAGAGCTGAGTTGACAATTTTTTGCATAGAAAGTCAATATGATTTTTCCATTTAAGTGAGTCATCAATGATTATACCTAATAATTTTACGTGCTTCTCTGTGGTTACCCTATTATTTGAAGATATAACTATTTGTTGAGTTTTTCCCCTATTTAATTTCAAATTATTGGAAGTAAACCAGTTTACAGCCTTTTCTTCAATTTCATTGGTCTTGTCGAGTAGTTTACTCATGTCGGAGTTGAATCATTGTTGAATCAGTAAATCATTATTGTATCATCTGCAAAACAGATGACTGTGCTAGCTAGTAGGCTTTGAAAAATATCATTCACATATATTACAAAAAGTATAGGTCCAAGGATTGACCCCTGAGGTATGCCATGGGAAACTACTTTCTCTACAGATAATTCCCCGTTTGTGCAGACGGCTTGTTTCCTTCTGGTTAAGTATGAATTAAATAAGTTTAAGGCTGTACCTCTTATTCCAAAAATTTCAAGTTTACTGATAAGGGTATTGTGGTTGACAGTAGAAGGCTTTACTCAAATCCCACAATGTTAGCGAGGTTAGTTCACCACTCTCCACATGTTCGATAACTTTGTGTATTATCTTTCCCACTGCGTCTATTGTAGATCTATTCTTGATGAAGCCAAATTGATGGTCATGAAGAAGATTGTATTTGTTTAAATAATTTGAGAGGCGCTCTTTAATTACAATTTTTAGGATTTTTCCTAAAATGGGTATAATCGAGATAGGTCTATAGTTGTCTGGTATATTGGGATCACCTTTTTTAAAGATTGGCACTACTTTACTTATTTTAAAGACATCGGGAAAGATACCTTCCGTGAAGGAGCGATTCATTAATTGTGTCAAAGGTTCAACAAGAAAGTCAATTACTGATTTGTGAATTTTACTGGAAGTTACACATTCAAATCAACTATTAGAATTTTGAGAGAAATGTTATGTACAAAAATAAGACGAAACAACGAAATTGGATTCCAATAAAATTTCACCTTGACGAACAAAATGTGTAAAAAAAAAATAAAACATTATAACAACTAAACAAGTATAATATTTTTTGGGTGGAAAAGTAGTATTAGGGTCTAAACTTCAACTTTGAATGGTGAGCCAGGAACATGATCATCGCCCCATTTCACTATCACCAAATAGTCCCCCCTGTCTCTAACCAAATAGTTCACAGCGTACTGATTATGGCCTTGGTGTTTTATAAACACTTCTTCGCATGGGCCCTTTGGCCCGTGAATACCAACAAAAAGAATGTTCGCACCTGAAAATAAAAATAACGATCAATCTCATGTATTGTTTCAAATCTAGAAACAGTTCTGGCAAAAATATTGATCATAATTCAACGAGACCCCACAAAAGTTTCTCAAATATGTTGCCCCTTTCTTCAGATAGATACTTACCAGCATTTTGAGCCGAAATGGTGAACTGATTTTGTTTTCCTAAGTAGGCTTTCTTCAAGCCCATTCCTTTAGACATGACTTTGCTAGCATCGCTCTTGAAGTGGGGCAATACAGGACCTTTGTTGTTATTATTCGCTTTGCCCACTTTAGCAACAGTTTCTACTACAACTGACGATGTTTCTTGGCCACCGATATCTGCTACTTTTGCATCACCTTGAAAAAGAAAAAAGTAATAGTTTTGGTTTTCAATATTAAATTTTTGTGTATGCATATTGGCAAATTTCTAATTGATTATGTACTAACTAATTTTGAGAATACTAGAGTGAACATGTTTTTTGTCACTTGAGAACCACATGATGAGGTCCATTTCTTATAAACCCCTGGCTAACATTACAGTTTCATGGGCTAATTTTTCTCCTATCAGTTTTTCGTGAAACTCATTCCAACTATTCTGTTCCCCGTACTATTTTGTTAGAGTCAAAGTGTCCTATAGTCCTTTTTTTTCACTTGAACACTTCCCATTAAAGTATCTATAGAAGAGAAACAAATTTCCAGCCTTTCTTCAATGTTCCATACTATCAAGGTTGCAAATAATGTTCGTATCTCTAATTAGGGGAATGACTCTTTTCTGGATGGAATCCAGCAGCTTTAGGGTATGCCTAGTTATGCTATTTTGTTCAGGTGTCCTCTACAAGAGAAACGTTAAGCGAGTAGCCATGTGATCATTTTGAACCAATCCCTGCTCTATTGAAGCAGTTCAATACTTTTTGCAGACAGTATCTCTATAGAGGTTTTTCCTTGTGTGTTCCCAGGCGTATTTTCCCATAACTTGTGATACTTATTAATCCATTTCCGGACCTGGTCCTATTCCAATGATTTTCGTCCTCTCAGCTGGCTCAGAGTCCATATATAGACTTCTTCGATTGACGACTTGTTTATTTTGTGGAAATTCATGTTCACTGAGGATACACTACAAATGTGGAAAATAGACAAAAGTGTGTTTTTGTAGTGTATTCATATATAGACTTGATAATCCATGTTTAGCACACTCATCAGCTTTATCATTGTCTTTGATTCCTGAGAGTCCAGACACCCAGTATGGAGTCAGTCTTTTTTTCTCCACACTGATTATTTCAGATTTTCTATGAATCTCCAGACAAGTCTTGATCACTTTTGGATCCATAGATACCCCAAGTGATGTTAATTAGTAGAAGTAGAAAATCAAAAAGCCTGTTTCATAATGTTTATTAATTTTCCAAATTATAGCAAAAAAAAAAACAAAAAAACACACGTAAACTACAAAAAAATTGATGATTTTTTTTATTTTCATAATGTTCAACAGCTACTTCTGTGTGTATGAAATAGTTGATAAAATTTCGAATGTAGAGCTGAATATCACTATAGAAAAGTCTAAACGTGTTTAGTACCTTCAAATTAATATCAGTAGTAGGTCAAGTAATGAATGATTTCTGAATAAGATAAATAATTATGAGGTTATTTCAGAAGTTTTGTCCGTTTTAATGTCACGTGTTTTTGTACCTCCATATTTCAAAAAATATTTATTCTACGTGTTGGGGTATATACTGGTCGATACAGAATTTTGTGTTCTTTTTGTTTCTTTCCGGCTTATTACTACATGATGTCGTTAAAGGATTTTTGGCAATTTTTTCTCTACGAATTCTCTACAGACAAAGCCCGAAAAATTAACCAGGCCTTCAGTAATGATAATGTTGCAGTTCCCAGATGGTTTAAAACGTATTTGCTAAGTCAAAAGGCTTGAAAAGTGGGTGCCCCATGATTTGAATGATCGACAAAAATACAAAAATTGTCAGGTTTCGAGGTCTGTTCTTATTTGCTGTTGCGCAACCAGAATGATTCTCTACGACAACATGATACGTTGGATACCGATGAGCTACTCAGGCACTTCCTAAAGGCGAAAACCCCCAAAAAAAGACCATGGTTACTGTATGGTTGTCAGCGGCTGATGTGATTCACTATAACTTTCTGCAACTGGGCTAAACCATCACACCAGGCTAAAACAGCTTTCGTAGACTTCATCGAATCCCGAGCACACAATTTTCAAGCTATTCGACTTGTGTTACGTTGGCAAAAGTGGGCTGATTCAAATGAGGCTTATTTCCATTAAATCAAATAAGTATTCACTTAGATATTACAGTTTAAAGTAGACTCATAAACACGAACAAAACTTTTGAAACAGCCTAATAAAACAAACACAGAACATTTTTTAAGCAAGACCAGTAAATACTGTTAATAGAGCTGGAAAACATTTGGAAATCATAGTACCTATACCAAAATTATACCATTTCTCTAGGAATTATTCAGTTTTCTAAAATCAATCTGTATTTATATCTAAACTTTCATGTGAAACAGCCACAACTGTACACTAAAATGTTACTGATTGGAAAAATAATGCAACTTATTCAAAAAAAAAACTAACCTGTACTGTGCACTTTGTAGGGTGATCCTACTATATGGTGGTTGTTGTATTTAATACTGACGAAGTAGTCTCCGGGAGCTAGGGGAGTGTAACGGACCTTGTAACCTTCCTCCACTTCGGTGCAATCCATTGAAACTTTACTAGGACCATCTATGCTTACTCCTAAAGTACCTGTTCCAGCGTTTACGGTATCCACAATGAAATCTGTTTTCACTCCTGCAAAAAAAAAACAGAATTTCCCGTATTAACAAGGAATTATCTTGGATATCTCAATGATCTTGTGAGTTAACTCACTTTCAGTTCCAATATCCTCTAATAGTATGAAAATATCAATTTTTTAAGCTCAAAAGCTGACAATCTTTTTCTGAAACGACATATGGTCCAGAAGCCTAACAAAGATCTCATATCTAGAACTGGCTAAAATGATATATTTTCTTTTTTTTTGAGGTTACATATGTATGAGGACGGAAGGCCAAAGAAAAATTACTCAATACTATATAGTTCCCAAAGCTAGCATCCAATTTTTCAATAAACAGCACAATTTTCAATGTATATAATCTCACTCACCAGTTTTAACATCCTTCAGTCCATTTCCACTGGCGTGAACAGCAGCAGGGTCAGCGGTATCTTTGCCTACTTTGACGCTGAATGGTGATCCAGGAATATGAACTCCATTGAATTTCACATGGATCTTGTGAATGCCGTTTTCTCTTGGCATGAATCGGACAGAGTATTCCTCCATGTCAATGATTTGAACAAAGCAATCATCTTCATGTCCCGATGGGCCAATAATCTGTGATAAAATATATACGAAATGAAGTACTTCAATTTTTTATATATATATACATGGGATTGATTTACACAATGTGTGTTTATTCAAGCATAGATAGTAAAATTTACCGAGTATATGCGATATCCTTAATTTGTCAACTTGTCCACAAACGAAAAGCAGGCTGACTCGAAGCTAATGTATTATATTAAATCATGTTCCTCAGATTACTGAATATTTGGCGAAGTCAGTTCAAGCACAAATTGCTGGTATTATTTACATAGTAAAAAATAATTTACCAAAAGTGAAAAAGAATATAAAAACAAAGTTCCAAGTTGAATGGAATTCAATTGTTTTTATTTTCCAAATTGATTAACTCGACCAAAAACTGTATTGAAACAAACAGTGTCTACTTTCATAACCGATGATAGCCATCTCTCAGCTATTTCCGTTTGTTGGCCATGATCTGCAAGATTTTATGCTTGAGGTTTCTTCAACGACAATGGTAGACATTGTCAAAGGCAATGAGGCAGTAGACGAAGTTCTCTAGTTGTTCTCATAGCAGATACTACAACGTTTAAGTTTCTGGTTTTATTCAATTGGTGGTAGGCGTGGCTTCATTCATATTGGATGAAATGAAAGACATGATACGTATATAATTTAATGCAGGTAGCCCGACTTTATTTGCATGAATTCCTGCTTCCTTTCGGTTGAAATTGCCTGTTTATATATAGCCTGGTATAGTAGTAGTAGCTGAACATAAACTCAAAGAAGACAACCAGGTCGGTAGCCAGGCGGTTCGACGTGGGTGCTTTGTTCACTCACTCGAATTGACTGCCGTGTTGGTTGGTGGTTTAAGCTCTAGTTTGAACGATCGGTTTTCACTTGCTATCGTCCAACCCGTGTTAGGAATCACACGTTAAAAGGTAAGACCTCGTTAATCCTCAGCTCGCATAAGTTTCGACTTTTGAGGGTTGTAGCTCGTAGGGGTGCGACAGCTGGTTAACGGAAAAACATATTTTAAACAGATTTTTAAACACTATCGCCACAGAGACCATTTTAACCGAAAGGAAGAGATTATTAACTTAAATAAAGTCGGGCTACCTGCACAAAATTATACACGTATCAGGTTATTCGTTTCAACCAGTGTGAATGAAGCCACTCATGTTGTCCAATAGTTAAATGGATCAATAGTTCTACATCAAATAAAATAGCTAGTACCTAGTACTTTAATTTCATGGAATCTGTAAATATGGATATATTTGAAACCCCCTATAAAGTGTCTACGCTACTGGTTGCCATAAAAGCGCATTAAAATCATAAACTTATAGAAACTATACTATAATTTCAGAATAGTAGGCACTAAATTCTCAAAAATGACTGACGTTTTTGACTTAATCTGTCTCTTGCAGTGGCGTACGGAAATCATACCAAACAGATGAGAAAAATGTGAAGAATCACAACCCTAACATCAAAGGGTTCGTTTTAATGCTATAATATTTCTGAGAATTTACTGCCTACTTTATGAAACCTAAATTACTATTAATATCTGTTCACTTTGTACGAATGAAAACTTCCACTTGTGTTTATTCATAAATGTTTCGAATGAAAGTTATGGTATTTTATTATTATCATAATCCAAACTTCAAGTTGTTGAAACTTATGACGTTATTTATCAAGGATTGAGCGTGGACAAATTTGAATATCTTTGAATTTTAACGTAATAAGTATGGGGAAAACGGATTATATTTCTATTTCAATAAGAGTTCATTGACCAAAACCGAGAACTTATTAGGTAATAGCGGATTCAATATAACTTTAATATAAAAAGTGCCTGGTAAAAATATATTGCTTACAGCGCCATCCATAATATGGTTGGTGAACCTGAGAGGTGAATTCTGTTCTGATATATCAGTAACCTTATTTCTATCTTGAGAATTACGTTAAAAAATAGAACTATTCTACAAAATCTATTGGAAATCTGAACTCAACGCCAGTAATCTACATTATTGTTAAATTACTTTAACTTCATTGTATGGGTACCTACATGCATTTTAGAAGCTACTGTATGTACTTGAGAATTAAAATTTTATAAAAACCAACAGACTCTTTATAATGAGTTCATTAATTGACGACGCAAGTTAATAAATTTCTCCATTTAGATCCTAACCTCAAATTCCTTATGAATTTGGACAATAAGAATATTTGGACGACTTACCTTGGCGTCCAAGTCTCCCTTAGCTCCATTCCTGCGGACGATGAACTGCGATGGTTTGTCGGCTTGAATATGTCCCTCAGGGAACTGTGCTACCTCCAGCAGGTGGGCATCTCCAACAGCGGGGGAGATATAGACCTTGAAGGGGGAATCCGGTACGTGCTCGTCGTTGAATTTCAATCCGATACGATATTCACCTATCACAGAAAACAAATATGGAACATCACGGCCTACTCTAAATATAGAACCGAACCTTCGGCTTCAGGTGAGGCAGAATCGACTGAATTCAGATTTATTTCCTGGAACACTTTATACATTGTCTACTATGGATGAATAAGTATAGATTTAGATGAAAACATCGAGCGAACGTTTGCAACAACAAACATTTGGGAGTGATGGGTGCTCTCCGCTTATGAAAAATATCTTACTAACTATTAAACATATGATTCAATCGGCTAAATTTAACTTTTGGAGCTACCTTGAAAGTTTTTTTGTCACAACATAACACTTCGAATCAACCCGCAAAATTTTGTTTTGGAACTTCGCCAACTCTGAACGAACTGACCAATAAATATATTCGAATAAATATATTTGGTTTGATCAACAAATGGCACATTCGATGAAATTATACGGTTTACTAACCCCTCGTTTCTATCCTGCTGCGAAGTGTTGAGGATTAATGACGGAGCCGATAAAAATACACATTTATCTCAAACGAATTGGAGAGGAGCCATCAGCACAACATTTGGGATGTTAATCCACTACAGAATACGTAGTGTGTGTTGAAAATGTAAAAGACGAATGAATCGAATAAAAGATTTTCATTATTGTTTTAGGAGATGCGAAAGCACTACAGGAAAATCCCAAGGACGCCTCGACACAGATTCTCCTATGAAAGTGTGATATTTAGGTCGCTGAAAATAATAATAATTTGGAAAAAAGGTTTTAGGAAGTTTATTCCACGAAGGCGCCGTTCTCCAAATGGGAAAGATTAGTTGAACCTCAAAGCAATGGGCAGCTATAATAGTTTGTCGCTTTCTTCTGACATATTCCTGTCATGGTGGAATCAAACGGGATCAACACTTCCTGTGAAAAATCAATGGAATAGAGACACGTCCCCAATCTAAGTTCAAGACTATCATGGTTGCTTGTGATGTTTGGGTCTCCAATCAGGCGGATACCTTTTTTAATACAATCCAGCAATCTCAGAGTATACTTATTAGAGAAGATATATTATTTCTACTATTACTAATGCTAGTCTGAAAAAAATCCTTCAGATCTGCATTAAAATATAAACGTTTCTGTCGGTGAAAATATGCATTGTCAGCTTATGTGCTGTCGTCACCAAAGTGAAATATTAGATTTCTTATATTTTCCAACAGATAGTAGATGTGCAATAAAAAATATAGGGATACAATGTGGATCCGCTGGGAACATCAGCGTGGATGATAAAGATGTCCTAGAGAGAACCATAGATGTTTACTTGTGAGAAAACTGAGAGCCATGAAAAAAAAACGATCTTGCAAGCCATATATACTCTTAAATGACCAGTAGCTTTGTTGATACCTAGATAGCACAGAGTTTCCTCAGGATATACCAATTCCACCATCTAATACTATAAATGTCCATAGAATACCATAACAAAGCCTGTAGCTCCTGGACTACCTGTCCACACCTCACCACGAAGATGAATTCAGCCTCTCACCGGGATATACTTTGTTGATATCTAGGTTCTTACCTGGATATCTGGAGGATATCCGAATTTCATGACCGTCCACTATTATAGGACGTCCCAAGTAATATTACGGCGTTGTGTGTTCAAGATTAAACATGATACGGTGATATGTTTCCTTCCCATCCGACATTGTACAGTGGGTACATACAATTGGTTTTCCCAGGATGCGATTGAACCATCCAAGCGAAATCAACCCATAGCCAAATTCTTTTTCGGCTTATTAGGAATTTTAGGTTATCGATAAGAGAGCCAGAACAGGTAAATAAGAAGGAGGTTCGGAAAAAAAATTAACCGCCTTGCTAAAAAATTACTTTCCAAAATACATTTTGTTTTAAATGATACCGCCTTTCTCCAACGCTCCTGTCACTTTTTAAACACGAAAGTCATAGCTCGAACTTTCTGCAGGGCGCCACCTTACTTTGAAGATCTTCGTGATTAGTCTTGAATTACCATCCACTGACTGGAAGCTTGTTTCCAGGAAAAGCCACAAGTGACAGGCTATTAGATCTGGACTGAATGTTAGGAGGGATGGGTGCAGTTGTGATGAACTTACAACAAATCCACTAACGTGTGAGCTACGGGGGCTGCGCAATTTCAAATCTTTGTTGATGTTCTTGCGTTGTGTGGAGGATACAACCAAAACCTTTCACCAAGATTTAGGAAAAGCCTCGGTAGATAATAACTTTATTCTGAGGTGGGTTGAAAGGCACGACAGGAGTAAAGGTAATCGCATTGCCGACTCTTCAACCAAGGAAGCGGCTGGACTAAGAATTTTAGGACCCAGTGGCATCTACGGCCTGATGACTTCGACAATTGCGGAACTAGCCAAATGTTACACCCATGCTCAATCCTCAAAGATATGAGATGGAATCAAAGGATGCAATCTTGCCAGGATAACATTGGGCGACTCTGGGAAGCTGGCGCCGAAGAAATATCTGGCGATGACCAGGAATAATCTACGCTTAACAGTAGGATTTCTGACTGGCCACTGTCAACTAATGATATGGGGCTAGTGGACACACCTCTATGCAGGATATGTGAACACGAAGACGAGACTGTTAGACACGTCCTATGCGAATGTCCGGAGTTATCGTCAATAAGAGAGTGTGTGTTCGGCGAGTCTTGGCCTACACCTGCCGATGTAAAGGAGATGTTTCAGATACCTGTCCACCTTCCTGGAAGGGACAGGATGGACGATGACCTAGGAGGACAACTTCTCGGGAGGATGAACAATGGGTCATATGTGGCCTAAGTGCTGTGGGCTCCCTACTCTACAGATACAGATACCTTTCTTCTGTCACGATTCGATTCATTTTGCCGTTTGTTTCTCCACCAAAACTCAATAACAGATCATAAAGACACATACACAAAGACATTATCAGACACCTATCTGCAAGACAGCTAAATCGAAAATGTTTTAAAAGATGAGATGTCTAGACAAGCGGCGAGCTTTTCGACGGTTTTTCGTAAAGTTACCAACAGATGTATTCTATGCGATATTTTAAAACACATCACGTGAGAGGCGCTAGTCTCATCGAGCTCTGAATTCTCTATCCCCTCTAAAGCTTATTGTTACTTGTAGATAACTAGGGTCTTCCATTAAGCGCTTCCTATCTACAAATTTAAATAAAATAAAGTGTGTATGAGATATCATCGATTTTTTTTCCTTTGAAAGACCTATTGATGCCATCATGTGGGTAGAGCGCATCCGCTATAGTTTCTGGCTTATTCGCATAAACCTGTGACTTACAAAAACCCCACAAGAAAAAATCTAACGGGGCCAAACCGCACGATCTCGGGGCCAGTTCACATCACCTCCACGTGAGATGACCATGCCCTCAAATTGCTCGTGTAGGCTAACCAATATGGCATGAGCTATGGGGCACGTAGTGCCGTCCTGTTAAATCCACATGTCGTTGGTATCCAGATCATCCAATTCAGGCCAGAAGAAGTTGGTAATCATCGACTTATAGTGCTCGCCATTGACAGTGGTGGCCTGGCCAACGTTCTCAAAAAAATATGGACCGATGACACCGTCAAAGTCCACACCAAACACTGACTTTTATGGGATACTGGACTTTTTTGGTAATACTAATGAAATTTTTGGGAAGTTCATGAAGTTTCTTATCGTAACCAAAAAAAAAAAAATAATCCAATAATTGATTTTTGCTATGGACCAAAAGCAATATTAGTGTTGCTGTTTTTGAATTTTGAAGCTCACATATGAAATTTTTTACTTATTTCTGTAGAGGGTTTCGCAAAGACTTCTTACGCAATTGGGAGTTGCCGTGTTTATAAAACAGACAACTGATATATCCTGAAGGTTATGCCATACAGGTCTTTGAATGGAAAATAGAATCAAATTCTGCTTGCACCCCACACATGATTTTTTTAGTTTTCTTCAATATTATAATATGTGATGATGTTATCTGAGAGAGTTTGATTTGGATGGAAGAAACGAATTAGTAGCAGAAGTGAAATTTTGAAAACCAAAGTAAAAACTGAGTTGAAGGATGGATTTATTGGTGATTAGAGCTTCACTATTTATAGATTTATTCGGTGCCTAGATGATGAGAGGTAAGCTTTCTCTCGCTACTGATTCATGTCAGAGTTTCGCACAATTCCTAAAACCAAAATTACCTTAAAAAAACTTATCAATAGGCTGATCATATAATTTTTCAATATTCGGGAACATTTCAATTTTTCGATATTCTTTGAACGTAATATATTAATCTTGATTTTTGTTGAAATAGATAATATAATTTGAAATAATTTATTTTTTTTGTTAGAAATTGCCTTTCTACTTAAAAGAAGTTGATGATGAGTACTATAACGAAACCTTCAAAAAATTTCCACCATTTTTACGGGATCTATCATCTGTATGCAATTTTTCATATTTATGACACGAAACAATGGCTATCAGGGAAAGATTCACTTAAATCTGGTAGGCCATTCACGTGCAGTCTGGTAGATTTAGAAACTGAATCATTCGATTTTGAAGTTGAGTGTGTTCAAAAAAGAATGTAGGTATATCTCTGAAATGAAAGGAGATATATAGGAATGTCTGGAGTAGTTAACAAAATCCTAAGCAATAATATTTGTGACGTTTTTTTAAAAAAACTTTATTTTCTTCTATAATTCGCTACGGAATTCTATTTTGCCAGGAAAATTCATATCAATCTCAATGACACAAATAAAAACTAGTTGATGAATGGATCCTCAGAACTGTCAGCTGTTGCCGAATCAAACTAATATTTGCAACCTCCGAACCGTCATTTCCGCCGCAGAACGAACTGTGCCAACTATGAAATCACGAAAACGCTTAATTTTAGCACGGTATATCCTGGCAAAAGTTAAAAATATATCATCGCCATTAAAAATGTAGGAGCTTCATTAATATTTCACGCCAACGAAAATAGATCAGCATTTTTCTCGATCTACATTCTTCACTAATCTGTCGAGTAACAGTTGTGATGATACATCTCACTAGCGATCGGGTTCTGTAAGATAGAGAACTGACCTATTTTGAGGAGAGCCGTAGCAAATGTTTAATGTCCCAGTTAATTAACGAACTAAAAATCGAAAATAATTGGCATCATCTAAGCCACAGCCAAAATACTGAAAACGTCAATGAGAACATGAGTACTATAACTAAACTATCAATTTCAATATAAAACAAAGTGTGTGTGTGTATATCTGTATCTGTAGAGTAGGGAGGGTGAGTGTAGGCCCACAACACTTAGGCGACATGTGACCCATTGCACATCATCCCAAGAAGTGTTCCTCCTAGGTTATCGTACATCCTGTCCTTTCCAGAAAGATGAACAGGTCACTAGGAGACATATATTGGCAGGTGTAGGCCAAGACTCGCCGAACACACACTATCTTATTGACGATAACTCCGGACATTCGCATAGGACATGCCTGACAGTTTCATCTTCCTGTTCACACATTCTGAATAGAGGTGTGTCCACTAGCCCCATAATATGGAGTTGTTGACAGTGGCCAGTCAGAAATCCTACTGTTAAGCGAAGATTTTTCCTGGTCATCGCCAGATAATTCTTCGGAGCCAGCTTCCCAGGGTCGCCCACGGTTATCCTGGCAAGAATGCATCCTTTGATTTTATTCCACCTCTTTAGGGATTGAGCATGATTGTGACTTTTGGCTAGTTTCGCAATTGTCGAAGTCATCAGGCCGTAGGTGCCACTGGGTCCTAAAATTCTTAGTCCCGCCGCTTCCTTGGCTAAAGAGTCGGCAATGCGATTACCTTTACTCCTGTCGTGCCCTGTAACCCACCTCAGGATAATGTTATTATCCACCGAGGCTTTGGCTAAATCTTAGTGGCACTCTAGTACTAGCCCTGAGGTAACACGTTGTCTGTTCAAGGCTAATAGGGCTTGTCTGCTATCAGTGCAGATTGTTATGTTTTTGCCAGAAATTCCTTTCCTTGTTATTTCTGTTTGGAGCACGCTGGTATTCCCACTTAATCTTTAGGCTTAGTGATCAGTACACTCCACATCCTGAGCCTTCTTTGGTTTTTGAGCCGTCTGTATATATGCGTATTGCATTTGTAGCATCTGACTCAGTGTTCTGTTTTATTTGTATTTTGTAGGGTTTATTAAACACATACCTGGTGTGTGTGTGTGTAAGATATCATCGAAATTTTTTATTCGTTTGGAAGACCAATGGATGCCATTATGTGTGGAATACAACATCGTTCAAATGTCCGCCACGGCTTCTCTGGGTGGAGCGCATCCAAAACGTTCAATTTTTCATGGCTATGGCGCATAAATCAGACTGATCGATGGTATGGTTTATGTTAGCTTTGAGGACCACTGTGTTTTGTGGCTTATTCACATACACCTGCGACTTACAAAAACCCCACAAGAAAAAGTCTAACGGAGTCAAATCGCACGACCTCGGTGGCCAGTTCACATCACCTCCACGTGAGTTGACCATGCCCTCAAATTGCTCGTGCAGAATATCCAATGTGGTATAAGCTGTGTGGCACATAGCACAGTCCTGTTGAAACCACACGTCGTTGGTGTTCAGATCATTCAATTCAGGCCAAATGAAGTTGGTAATCATCGACCTATAGTGCTCGCCCTTGATAGTAATGACCTGGCCAACATCGTTCTCAAAGAAATACGGACCGATGCGATGACCCGCCAGCCCAAAATCCACACCAAACAGTGACTTTTTCTGGATGTTTTGGACGCTCTTGTATCTCATGTGGATTGGTGTCATCCCATATTCGACAATTTTGTTTGTTCACGTACCCATTCATTCAGAAATGTGCCTCAGCTGAAGATGACTTCTTGATGAAAATTAGGGTCAGTTGCCAACTGCTCCAGAGCCCACATTCAGCGAATACACGTAGTTGTCTATGGTCGTTTACCTTCAGTTTCTGGGTCAGTTGAATTTTGTATGGGTGCAGATCCAATCAAGACGTAAAATTCGCCAAGTTGTGGTCTGCGAAAGGCCGAGTTCTTGTGAGCGATGCGAAATGAACTGCCTCAAACTCTCCTGCACACTCTCACAGACAACGGCGATGTTTTTGGCAGATCATGCGTTTTGTCGACGTACGGGTGTTGGTCGATTGTTTACTGAACCAGTAGACTCAAATTTATCCACTATATTGCAAATAGTCCTCTCAGTAATGGGAAAAACGCGCGGTACGTTGCCCAAACAGAATATTTTGATGATACAATTTCATTATTTACACGTGTTGTTGAATGCTATATCCGACGAAACAGACTGAATAAATGACAATTAATTTGATAGATGTAGGTTCAACAAGATGGCCGTTATCAATTGTCAAAGTTCGGAAGTCCCTGTTAGAAAACCTTATACAAGTAGGTAGTTGTTTGAAAATAAAGAATTGTGATTGAACTCCACCTATGAATGAATTTATNAAAAATGATGTAGTATTAATTCTGGTTACCGAATCTACCTGATTTGCCAGAATAATTCATTTATCTAATTAGGTTTTGATATAAAATGCCAATATTTTATCTGTTTTCTTAGAAATAATATAGTATTGTACCTAATTTTTCATTAAAAATCTACCTGTTTTACCAGAATCAGTCACTGATGTTTTGTCATTACCTACTGTTATCTAAAAACAATGTAGAATAGTTTAATGTACCAGTAATTGATGGAGCTACTATACAGCGAAAGGAGTCAAATAAATTTTATTGTGAAAATTCTTATTATTTTCATCAAATAACGACTCAGAGTATTCAGAAAATAATTATGAGCCATTGAAACGAGCTTAGAGTCGAAATTTCGAGGTTAAAGTCAAAATTTATAGTTTAAAGTCGTAATTTCAAGATCAAAACGAAATTTATTCTCAAGTTGAAATTTTGAGAGTGAAATCGAAATTTAGAAATCAAAGCCGAAATGTTTAGATGAAAGTCGTAATTTCAAAATTAAAATTGTAATTTCTAGTTTAAAAACGTAATTTCAAGTTTTAAGTCGTAATTTCGAGATTAAAGACGAATCTTCGAGTTTACAGTCGTATTTTCGAGTTAAAAGTGAAAATTTCGAGAGTAAAATCGAATCAAACTCGAAACATCGAGATTAAAATCGAAATTTTGATTTTAAATACGTAAAATTTGAATTTGAATTTAAATACGTATTTTTCGAAAAAACAAATAATGAAATCATGTGACCTTTTGCGCTTCCATAAAAACATCTGTCACAACTATTCAAAATTTCCCGCACTTTTTCATCATTTGCTTCAATTACTGAAATTTTAAAATCAACCATTGCGATTCTGCCTCACATCTCTATCCAGTATTTTGATATACGTACCTGGTTCAGAAACCTTGTAAGAAACATCACAGGAACCGTCTTTCCTGTCAGTGAAGTTGATCTCAGCTTTACTGGGACCTTCCACGGATATCGCAAGTTGACCACTTCCTGCTTCTCTCGTCCAGACGTTGAATTCATTGAGTTCTCCCTGTTCACCCCTCTCTAAACCAGCACCACCAGCTTTGACCAAGTGGGCACCATGATCACGGTATGGACCAACAGTGAATTGGAATGGAGATCCTGCAAACAAAAGAGAAAGAAATCATTCACTGATACAAAAATGAGAAGATTACTACCTAGTATTGTAAATTTCAAAGTATAGATATTAAAAACATTTGAGGAAAGCAAGATTATTCTCTAAAAATCTGTACAGAATATGATTTATATCCTATTCTCATTGGTGGTTATAGAAAAGTTAGTTGTTTGGTAATATGTTTTTGAAGTTCGAAATATTTGAATGAGTTGGCCAAAAATGAAATAAAATCCAAAAATAGTATTACTTCTCATATTTTGTTGGATTATTTTCGTATATGACCAATCAATTCGAATATGGATTAGGATTCTTGTATTGTTTACTGTAGAATTGATGTTTAAAACTGTAAACCGACCACTTTTCAGAAATGAATTTTGAGAAATTTATACAAATCATATTGAAATTTTTGATGAACTTTGCCTATAGTTGTGATACGAAGGTAGTCCCAGAAGTAGAAGTAGAAAACACAAAAATTTTGGAAAATATTATATTACTTTTTCAACATAATCTTTTCCCAGCGACATTCAATAAGTATGATACCATTTTTATAATAAGAACTTGCTCCTCAAAATAGCCATTAACTGCCGACATCATTTCTTCATCGTTGGAAAATCTCTGACCACTGAGCCATTTTTTCAAGTTTGGGAACAGAAAATAAACCAAGGGGGCTAAATCTGGCGAATAGGGTGCATGAGGTAGCAATTCAAACATTGATTCGTTAATTTTGGTCATTGCAATAATGTAATGAGTGATTTTTTTGCTGGTATTTTTTTGGCAATACTGTTTTTGACAGTTCACGCGTGAATCGTGTCATTGTCAAACTTGTTTAGTTTGGTCTATAATTTAACCATGAATGGACTTACAATGAACAACGCTTGCAAATTATTGACTTTTATTATCAAAATTCATGCTCGGTGAAGACAGTGCATAGTGCAGTTCTTTTAATTTGTGGGCAGTTTCGTCGGCCTACTGAGGGAGCTGTTCGGAAGCTTGTGAGTAAATTTCGTACCTAGTTTACATTATTGGACATTAAACCACCAACACGCATACGTAGAGTGAGGACCGAAGAAAATATTGCGGCTGTATCCGCCAGTGTTCGTGATGACCGTGAAATGTCGATTCGCCGCCGTTCGCAGCAAATGGGCCTCCGTTACTCCACTACGTGAAAAATTTTGCGAAAGGATTTGGGTGTAAAACCTTATAAGATATAGCTGGTGCAAGAATTGAAGCCACACGACCTCCCAAAACGTCTAACATTTGGTGAATGGGCCCTGGCAAAGTTGGAGGAAGATCCACATTTTCAACGAAAAATTGTGTTCAGCGACGAGGCTGAATGGTTGAATGGATACGTTAACAAGCAAAATTGCCGCATCTGGAGTAAAGCCCAGCCACAAGCATTGCAAGAGCTACCGATGCATCCCGAAAAAGTCACTGCTTGGTATGGATTATGGGTCGGTAGCATCATCGGGCCGGAACGTTACTGTGAATGGCGAGAGCTACCGTGTGATGATTGATGACTTTTTGTTGCCCAAAATGGAAGAATTGGACATGCCTGACATGTGGTTTCAACAAGACGGTGAACATTTTATCTCACGTTTTGGGCCCGTCAATTGGCCGCCTAGATCGTGTGATTTAACGCCTTTGGATTATTTCTTGTGATGTCATGTTAAGGCTCATGTCTACAGGGACAAACCAGCAACGACTGACGCTCTGGAAGCCAATATTGAAGCATTTATACGTGAAATACCGGTCGATATGTTAGAGAGAATATGCCAAAATTGAACCTTGCGCATGGGCCATCTAAAGCGGAGCCGCGGACAACATTTGCATGAAATCATCTTCAAACATTAAATTATATTGATCGTTCTATCGATTCCAATAAAGATTTCAACAATTTTTTCAAATTTTTTGTGTTGTTTTGAAAATCAAATCCTATACCTCTTAAAAAATCACCGTTTATTTGTGAGCTGGTGCATTGTCTTGATGAAACAAGCCAACTGCTGCCGTTTTTGCTTGACTTCATCACTTCACGTTGCAATAATTTTGCATAATAGTCGCCGTTGATAGTTCTACCTTTTTTAAGATAGTCAATGAAAATTATCCCACACGCATCCCAAAAAACCGATGCCATGACCTTGCCTGCAGATGAAACTGTCATCGCTTTCTTTGGAGCCGGTTCTCCCTTTTGAGTCCACTGTTTTGATAGTTCTTTTGTTTCGGGTGTAAAGTGATGGATCCATGTTTCATCCATGGTTATGAAATGACGCAAGAATTCTGCTTTGTTGCTGTGAAACTTTACAATTGAAACATATTCAAGACACTGCTCGAGTGTGAGCAAACGCGGCAGTCATCTTGCACACAACTTTCTCAGGTCCAAATTTTCAGATGATATACGATGTACCACTTTTTGAAATGCCTACTAAATTTGCTAGCTGGCGCACTTTCAGTCGACGATCATTCAGTACCGCTTTGTGGATTTTTTTCACCCAATATTTTAGTGTTGTAAACGAAAGAGCAGACTCACCCAGAGTAGAATTCAGCTTAGCTTTTATATTGGATGGGCTGATGCCTTCCAAATAAAAGTATTGTACCACATGACATTGATCAATTTTCTCCATTCCCACAAATTCACCGAAAAAGTTCGCTATTGATGGCTACCAAATAAATAGAAAACAACTAAGCGTCCTCAAACTTGAAACATATGCTTCTAGATTGAGTACCTACTTTCTGATACAGTGACATTTTTCAAACAACTACCGCAATCTCTAAGTCAGACAGGGTACTTCTGGGACTAACCTCATATTTTCAAATAAAAAGTTTACATCATCTGTTATTATTTCATATATTAGACACGTTTGATGAATGTTCTGTACAAGTAAAATACGTGGATGCAATTTTTTTCGAAGATACTGTTGACTTTTCAGAACAATGAAGTTACTTTTTATAAATGGTATGAAAATCGGAAAAAAATCATACTTAGGGCTTGTTCCATTTACTTATATACTTAGGATCACTATCACGGTGTGTCAAAGTTAGGAAAGGTTCTCTAGAATTACTCATATGAATGCAAACAATCTATAGTTTTAGTATTTGAATACTTATTTGACAATTTTTACCCTCATCAAGCACTTCACAATCACCAACTTCTTCAAGCATAATGTATATTGGCTTCAAAAATATTTCCAAGACAACTTTGTCGTTTAATAAGCGATACAACCAATTATTTTCTTTGTACCAGTTATACCGTAGTATCGTTCCAATTAATTATAAACCCTACACGATAAACAGCTTACAATCGCTTCATTTATGATTACAATAAACGACGCGAACTATCGACTCAACTAACAGTGCATTTTTCAAACTGAATGTTACTGTAACAATACTTACCAGGAATATGGATATCCTTGTATCTAACGGACACTGTGTGGACACCTAGTTCTTTGGGCACGAAATGAACAGCATATAATCCATCTCTGACTTCATTGATTTCAGCATCTTCGGTTACTCCTCCAGGAGATGTTACGGTGGCACTGAGGTCGAATGATGTGATACCTGAAAAAAATGAATGGTGGAGAAAACAGATGTATTTACTTTATGTTACTGATTTTACGAAAGACACATAAGTCCAGAATTATTGTACAATAGGATGAATCTGTAGGGTATCAAACTGCAGCTTTGAATTTCCCCTTAGTTTTATGCCAGTATCATGCCCAGTTTCAGCCACCATATCTTTCCGTAGGTGAATCTGGTCAGCATCAGTGTTACGACCGCCTGTTTTTCCATCATGTTTAAACTTTGGTTCCAGGTCGGGTGAGACCTGGTATCCCTCCTAGACATTCAACATAACTCACAGTGGTATCTCTTCACATCGGAGTTTTAGAGATCCTAGTTCCTTGGAAAATGCTAGTATATGCTTCCTCGGTCCATTTTGTTCCAATACTCAGGACGTGCTGCCCTTTACTCAGTATATTATTATATTTTCTCTGGCTAGATCGACACTTTGTATCTATTATGGTCGTGATTATAGTAACACAAGCACATCACGTTACTTATTTTTTGGGATCTGAGGTCCCTTTAAGATTTGTTCACAGAGTCTAGCATATAGTTGGGTTCATTTAACCCTTTTCTATCCATTCTATCTTAGAATTCCCCAAAGCTTTGTTGTATTCAGTTAGGGATGGAAGATGGAAACAAGATTTTTATTCAGCGCCTTCGCTAAATACAAAAAACTGTGACCCGTCAGGAGTTTTAACGTAGATCTTTTTTCGGTTCTGTATGTTTTTGGGGCCTGGGCGGCTTTTCAATCAGAGATTCTGGAGCAGGCAATGACATACTTCTTACTTTAAGGGGACAAGGCTAGGTTTTTTTGCCGTCAGGTACATAGGTCTCCGTGCTAACCAAAATGCAGGAAGCGATGTGACTTGTCCATTTCGGAAAACACTGCAACTTTACGGGCTAATTGCACTTTCCCTTCTTTTTTATGGCACCAATACCAATACTCTTGTTTCTACTAGTTTGTAAATTAGATGTTTCTCATATTCTTTTGGGCATGATTTGCAAATGATGAGATGTTGCATAACTTGCAGCTGGGTTCTACTTTGAACATCACTATTTTGTTCTCGTGTCCTTCAAGTGATCGGTATTCAGTGGGTAGGCTTTTGATTATGTACAGCCAATCTCTGCTCTGTTGGAGTATTTCTCCATTATTTTCAAAGATGTTTTCTTCGAACTCGAAGAGAGATATTCTAACCGTGCGTAATATTGAGATCGAGAAGAATAGAGCGTAAGTACAATTGCGCTATTATTTCATGACTCCTTTTCAATTGGTTAAAAAAAGTGTTGAATGTTTTATTTGGAGAGGAAGTTGATCAACACTCTGTAATACGTAATCACACTTTCTTTCATACGCCGGTACTAATAATTAATAAGATCTTCCTCGTCACTTGAACTGCTCATTTTGAAACAAAATGAATCATTGTACCTCCGAATATCAGAGATAAACGAGGCTCTCAAAGGCGATTCATTGCAAACGCAAGCGTCCTTTGTCTTTCACTATAAGACAAGTAGTTTGGAAGTCGATGTCGGAGCTTGGCATTGTAGCTGATGAGATGGTGAGCCTCATTTTTCTTTGATATTCGAAGATTGACTCTTCTGACGATGCCATAGATGGCTTCGTATGAAAAGATATAATCGCCTTTACTTTCATAGGCTTGTCCTTTATGACCCATTGAATTCGGTATTGCATTCGTTGTTCAATCTAGCACCACTGATGAGATCTATGGCAGGTTTGGGTCTGGGTTTCATCTAGTTGCCTTGCAATGGAAGACAGAGGACGAATCTCGTTTAGCGGTCGATGTCGAGGCTTGGGTCTCCTGTCGGTCGCATAAAGAGATATGCCATCGCTTTTAGTTATTCAGGTTTTGTCTTCAAGGACAAATGATTCAAGCAATGCATTCGTGGTTTAATCTAGCTCCACTGATGAGACCTGTGGCGAGTCGAAACAGTACTATCTGCTGTTGGATCAAGAATGCTTCAGTTTTGAGCTTTGGATTCAATTAATCATTGAGAGTTTGTGAATATTTTATCGAGGGTTTATCTAATATCAGAAAAGTAACCTGGGCTATAGACCACAACTATCCAGATATATTCTGAAGATATCAAAATCTAATCGACTTACCTGGCATTTTGAAAGTCAGTTTGCATTGACTGCCAACTTCCGTGATAGGTACTGCTTCTCGCTGTCTTTGTATTTTCTCTCGTTGCCTATTTGATCCTTCACCAGTAACCTGTAAATAAGACATACACATTAAAATGATATCCTGGATGTTACTTGAATACTTATTGAAATTATAATCTCACCAGAAAGGAGCTGATAATGAGAAACAGGCAGAAAATTCACAAAGTTCCTTAGCAGAAGTGATTACGAATCCCCATAAGAACAGGTGCAATAATTTCAAAAAATAGAAACCTTAGATAAGATCCAACGCAGCAAAGGGGGACAGACAGCTCATTATGTTAATGCGTATGTGAGGTACTAGATTAGCCCATGAGGCTACAGTGTTTTCCGGAGACTTGGAATGAATGGACAAGTCTGACGGCTTCCAGAAACAGGAAAAAATGGAATTATGCACCCTGACATTATTATCTCCAGTTGTACCACTATATTCACCGTCTTAGAGAAAACTTTTCGTAGCTTTGTCACCATGAGCTGATTTCCCATTTCATTATCGCTCCTGCATGTTTCACGACAGACATTATTGGCATCCATTGTAGGTTTCCAGCCATTCAGAGAATGATCTCTGATTTTTTATCACTGTAACTGCTCAGAGAGACAGTTGTACAATTTCTCTCTACTCACGTACCCACACTTGTGGTTCGTATTGTACAATAGAAACTATCCTAAAGACAATCCTAGCAAATACTTCAATAATTCTAGTAGATACTAGAAATTAAATGCATAAAATTATCCTGATAACATGAAGTGAAAAAGAAAAAAAACAGAGGAATTTGGATCCCAGAACATAGATAACAAAGACAGACAGCAGAATCCTTTGAATGAGTATGAGCTATTCATTACAATAGTATCTCAACTCACCTTGACCGTGAAAGGAGAACCATCCACATGATGATCGGCGAACTTAAGATTTACTATGTAGTATCCGGGTTCCGTCGGTTTGTACGATATGTTCAGAGTGCCATCTGTGTTGTCATTGCACTGGATCTCAGCTTTGCTTGGTCCTTCTATAGACAAAGAAAGACCTCCGAAGCCTGCGTTCCTGGTATCAACGGTAAATGTGTTATCCACATGGGTGATTCCTTCTTTAACTGCATTACCAGACACCTGTACTTTCTTGGCGTCTCCCACTTCCCGTTCGCAAACGTTGATTTTGAAAGGCGAATTGGTGATGTGGTTGCCCAATTTTTTGACTGACACCACGTGTTCACCGATTTCTCTAGGGGTGAACGAGATGCCGATGTTGCCTGAAGGCAAGCGCTTCAAGAAGCAGGGTTCTTCCAATCCGCTTGGGGCTTGAATGGAGGCGTTCAGTGATCTGATATCGGCGTCAGAGATTTTCCCAGGAAGCGATACCTCGCTGCAAGACCCGACAGAGATCTGGTTGCGTTTTCTGCCTTCGCCTGTGATCTTGGCGTTGAACGGTGATCCCTTGATGTGTTTGTCACCAAACCTGACGGATATCTTGTATTCTCCAGGCGCAGTGGGCAGATATGAGACGCTAACAGTGCCATCTTTGTTGTCGTGGCAGCTTATCTCCGCTTTGCTAGGACCCTCAACGGCCATGGAGAGTCCACCGGCTCCAGCACCTTTGGTGGAGATGGTGAAGTTACTAGGTTCACCGGTGACTCCATGAGTAAGACCTGGACCATATGCTGTCACGTAACCGGAACTGATTGAGTCTACGTGGAACTTGTAGGGAGAACCTTGGACGTGCTCTCCGTTGAATTTGACAGCCAATTCGTGAACACCTTCTTCGCGGGGGTCATATTTGATCGTTACGGTACCATCGTGGTTGTCTTCGATAATTGGTTTGTCGATATTTCCGCTGGGCATCTTTATTTCAGCTGAAAAAAAAAGATTCGTCACTAACATTATTTGGAATTGTTAGAGGCTGTTATAATTCATTCATATTCATTAAATGAGCAATATTTATCATATTACCGATAAAAATGGATTTTCGGATTTGCTTTGGGTGCATGTGGTGTGCCCCAAGGAAGTATATTGGATCTGAAGCATCATTTATACAGCCCATATCATTATTGAAATATTTACTTAATATCGAATACAAAAATTCATTGCATATTCCTTAATTTATTTCTACTCAACTGAAAACAATAACGTTTTTCCTAAAAAATCACTACGATCAGATAATTTTTGAACTATTCAGTTAAAATTAAGAACGCTCTAAGAACATTTGATCTGAAATTCAAAAGTACGAGCCGAAAAAAGTTGTGTTGCATTATCTTCACGATCTCAATCCATTTTTAGACCTCTCAGAGCAAGAACTAACATTATGCTCAATTCTCCAATATATGTTATGTGCACAAATTTCAATAGCATCTGTGCCCATGGTGATTTATTCTTTACTAACCTGCACAACATTATTAGAATTGCTAAAGTGTACTTGAAGTAGGTAATTAGAATTCGTTTTTCTTTCATGTTCATTTTATTTTTCGTTTATAGTTAAGTATTGTGAATAAAATTTTATATTGTCCTGTATTGTCCTGTTGGACAATAAAGATATTACTATTATTATTATTAGAAGATATTCGGGTAGTATTGTTTTTTCAGAAGGTGTTCTTTCAGGCAGTACCTGAAACTGGAAAAAAATTTTTGAAACAACCTGATAGAGTTTCTTACCACACTAGTTTCGAGTATAGGTAATGCGAATGTGAATAACGTGTATGTATGTGTAAAGCAAGAAGTTTCTAAAATGAATTTAAAGATCGCAGTGAGAATATTAGTTTCTGATTTTGCAATACAATTAAGATAACTGGGAACCAATAGAAGATTGCACATTTCAGAATCAATGTGAATATCTTGCTACTGTCTCATTATGGCGCATGGTGACATTTCTAGTCCTTCATTATTGAAAATCGCGAATTTCTATTTCATTTCACTTTTTTTTATCGTGCTTGCTCTGTCAGAGTGTCAACCAACCAAAGATTATACAATGTGTAACAACGAAAACTTAACAGAGCCGTTTTTGAATATAAAAAGTAAGATTTTTAAAAAAAGCTCGGACACGTCGATTTCTAATTAAAGGGGGGACATCTTTCAGACTAATCAGATTTTTTGTAGTTCGCACCCCCTCGGAGGGGTGCGTCCGACGACCCTTATTTAGATAGGAAAAGTAGGTCGAGTGGCACCTTGTTTTAAAGGTCTTTCGAATACCTTTACAACTCTGTTAAAAGAAAGTTTTTGTAACGATTAGTTTTCGAGATAATTTGAAGATTTAAAGGTATTTTTATTGAGTTCAACTCTTTTTAAAATAAACCAAATTGTTTTTAAGGTACAATTTACGTTCAGAATTTTCAGAAAAAAAATAAATTTTTGCTTTTTATGATAACCTGCTAATACGTGTCCATTTGATTTCGTAAAGAAGTAAGAATTATTTGTTTATTACGAGGAGACTTTTTCGGGGGATGGGGTTGGTTACCACCCTTACATTTTAGGTAAATTGAGTGGCACCTCCTTATGAAGGTTGCCTTTTGACGTGGATATTTTATGCTTCTGATAAAAAAGTGAATCATACTAAAAANGTTTGACCTACATAGACACCAGAGCAGATCGGGAAAGAACAAAGAAGTTGGTAAACCCCTGACTTTTTGAGGACATTGATTTTATTTTTAGTATTGACGAGATCACTTGTTAGAGTTACTTGTATTAAACGAGATTTAAATGTTGTTGTCAAATTTATGAAATATACTTCTAATACTCAATGAGATATTCCTAAAAAAGGTAGGGAGGTGTATGTGCGAGTGACAGGTTGAAGTGGAATTGTTAATGTAACATCTTTTCAATAATATGAGAAGGGTAACCATTATTATGGCCGATCTGTCTTATGATTTGGAGTTCTTTACAAAAATTGCTATGATTCATAGGAATAGAGAAAAGTCTGTGAAACAAAGAGTTGAGAAACCAACGATTACAAGCAGCAGCTGAAACTTTCATAGTCGATGAACACGGCGAGAAAATACTCTTCAATGATGACTTTAATTTTATTCTCACAACGTATCGTGCCAAAACTGCCAGAACGTTTCATAGCAATATTTTTAAAAAACAAGAAAGCGTAAAGTTTTCAGCGATATAATCAATTTGATCGTGAATGGTAAAACCAATATATTCACCTGTAAATAAATGAGCAAGTATTCACAGTAATCAACTACAACGAGTACCTACCTGCTGGTTTTACCATTGACCATAAGATTATCATTTCGCGTATCTCTGAAAACACTATACAACTCAGTAACAACAATGCAAACATAATGCTGTTATACTTCCTGAAGAATGAGGTTCGTAAAAATCAAAGAAAATGACGCAACCTGCAGCTTTCTTCAAATGAATAATCCATCGAGATTAAATTTATATATCTATGATTTCTCTTAGACACTTTAGTTCGATCTGTATTATATCAATCAAGAAGAACTTCATAACATGTGATGCCATAGTTATAACGTAAATATCCAATATACTTTTGTTATACTGATAAATACATGAGGAATTAAAAAAAAGGCAAAACTATTTTTTTTATTAATTGGCCGATAATAAAAATCCATTGTAACGTATCGTGAAATTTTCATTCAACAGTTCACACGTTTTTCACTATATAATAGCTTCTCTAAGAGACGCTCAATATTCAGTAACATAGTTTGATAATTCTGTTCTCGCTTCAAGAGGTGCCCGATTTCTAAAATACAAAAAAACAAACATGGAGATTTATCATTTTCATTTCAAGTTGAAACGTGAGTAACAAAATCCTATAATAACCAATAATCTTTGAACTTAAAGAAACACATTTCCAGTTATCAATGGATTCGTTTCACACCATTCAAAATGCACAGAACATAAACTATGACTAATGATTATCACTAAAAGTATCCTTCGAAGTCCACGAATAAAATATGACAAGGTGCCAAATTGAAACATTAAATTGCTGCGACTCACTAGCTAGGTTCTGTCTGAATAATTTTATATGAAATTTCAATAATTAGTAATACACGCTCTGATTCCAAATGCGGAGGAGCCAGAGATATGTAATTACACAGGAATATTTTGATACCATCAATCAAATAGAGTCTGAATAACGAGATGACGTATAAATTTCTGCGACACTTTGCCAACGAAAATAAATGACTTTTTCACATGAGAATTAATCATAGTTTACCAAAAACAAAAATGTCACATGTGTCAAATTTGAAATTTGTTATGTGTTGTGGTATATTCCAGTTCCAGCAAAAAAAGTCTCTATTCCTTCATAAATAGAACTTTTTTTCGAAAAACAGCACGCCATTGAAGTAAACACACAGTTTTTGGCTTGCTGAATTATGACTTTTACCTATAACTGCGCCACGGCAAATAATAATCCCTTACTACATCAAGTTTATCGGCTTGTATTGACCCGAGGAAGGAAAGTGAATATTACCAATAAATTCGGCACTTCCTACAACAGATTCAATATCCTCCGGAGCATATAGCAACACAGGTGTCTCATCAATACCGTAGAAGTGCCGAAGATGGTAATGAAGCACTCTTCGGGCTGTGTTATGTCGATGGATATATACTGATACCGCATTGGCAAGCCTTGCACATGGTGTCAGGAACCTCTGAACCCATCACACGACTACGGTAAACTAAGGTTACCGACTCAGTTTCCGACTTTAGCCCCCTCGACCTGAAGAACGTTACTTTGATAAGCTAATGTTTCAATGTGGTTGAAGAAAACTCACGCATCGGCTTATCCTTGCGTAATCATTGGAGTAAAATGGTCTCAGAAGTTTTATGAGGGTTTTTGCTGAACAGGTTCAAATTTGGTGACAGAGTTGTTATCACCTCGTTCAGTGTCGAAAACTAAACAAAGTTTATCAGCAGCTCGAGCAGCTACTTCAAAAAATGCCCCAATTTTTGCTCTCAATTCTTGTAGAGAAGGGGCTCCGAACTGCTGATGACAGCTATAGCTACATCCGTGGTGATTTTGATAGTTTTCTTGTGAACACAAGATCTATTAACTGAAACCACAAACGTGCGGCAGGCTCCTGCTGGTGGCTCCGTGCATTTGTATTTCTTTCGTTCGGTAACCAAGTGTTGCCCATCCTTACACTTGGCTGCACCATACTGATGATGGGCCAAAAGCTATGTCTATGGTTTGCTACTTTCTTGAGTGGTATGTCTGATTATTAACTTCTGGCAATCAACAATGAACTATTTGATACTATCATTGACGAATGTCTGGATAGATATCTCATCGTTTGGTCCGCAGTGAGTCGGTTACTGAAAAATTTCAATAAAAATGAAACTGATTTATGTTCTTGTTGTTTTTGGGTATTTAACCTTCCACAATCTAAAAAATCTGATCTCTACTACGATTTTTATCTGGTTACGACCGGTTTCGGTTTGTTAAACAATTTTCAAGTGAAAAGAACGGAGACAATTGTGGAATTTTTCAAAAAAAACAATGTGAAAGGCCACATGCCAGGTTTAATCGACGGATATAGTCCGTAACTCAAAATGGAGTAAAAAGATTTGAAGAGGAACGTAAACTTGAAGTCTTCTTCACACAAAAATGGGAATATATTTAATTATTGAATCGCAAAAACATACATGTTTCGATCACAGCTGTAAGCATCTTCAGTGTAACAAAAGCCTGAAAATACACGAAATGGATTTGTTCATTTCGCAAATGTTGAGAGAAATGCCCTTATTGGCTATCTGTAAAATACGAAAATCCTTTTGGGGATCAAAAACATGTTGTTCATTTATGATGTGATTAGCAAAGGAACTTTCAGTGTTAATTTCAAAAGAAAGGTCATGATTTAAATTTTCTCTATGAATTTTGGATGTTCTT